GAAATGAGGGGGTGAGAGGGTAATGATGATGATGATGATGATGATGATGATGATGATGATGATGATGATGATGGAAAAGTCATTTATATAGAGTAATGCTATTAATTTTTCAATGAAAACAACATACATATATTTGGTTTTGGGTTCTTGTTCATCCACAGATCCTACATATTCTACAACGAGCCATTCTTACGCTGGATACTGTATGTTTTCATTGCTCTAGACCTCACCCTGGCTATATTTGAAGAGCCTGCGGTGCCAAATGCGTCTATTCCGTATTGGGTATGTTTCCTGGTGTTAAACATAAAAGTGTTGATATCCAAGGGAAAAACGTTGTTGTTGTTTTCAAATTCCTTTAGCTGCGATCATTTAGCTCTTGGCAGCGCTAGAGGGAAAAACGTAACAGTATTGTTACTCTGATTGTGATTGTTATTGTGTTCTCTTAGAAGAAAAATGTTGTTAGTTTAGTAGCTTGTACTTTACTTTACCTGTTTTGTTTCTGTTTGTCTTACTACTTTCTTGCACTGAATGATAGCCTTTCTGTCAATGTGCTTCTTTTTGCCTGAACACACAAACAAACAAACCAACAAACGAACAAACAAACACACAAACAAACCAACCAACCAACCAACCAACAAACACAGAAACAAACAAACAAACAAACAAACAAACAAACAAACATTGTTGTTTCCTCTATTATTTAATTATAGCTGGTGAATATTGTTTGTGCATTTGCAAATGTTTCGGCCACCTTACTCGTCTCATTCATGGCACTAAGTAACTAACATTGAAAATTGTATAAATTAGAAGTTGACCGTTTGAAAAAGTTTGCTACAATCTGGCCCACATCTTTACTATTTGCATTCTTCTTGACATCTTGCGATACATAAGGACAAAAAGTAAAAAGTAAAGTAGGCCTTAGTAGAAAAGTCATATTAGGCAGTAGATCAAAATGACATTATAGATCTATAATAATTGTTCTATTTTTGCAAATTGTTTACAGCACCCTGACAGTGAGGATCAAAGGATGTTTTTTTTCTTTCAGGACGTGTGTAAATGTTGTTAAATTGCTTTCTGTTTTGTTGACTTTTTAACCTCACTTCAAAGTACCTAAAGATGAGTAAGGACATTGTCACACACACACGTTCACCACTAACCCCCCCCCCACCCCCCCCCCCCCCCCACCCCCCCATCTGTTCCCCACAACAAACAAATCTGTTTATTCAGTGACATGATGTAAACTCATCTTGAATTTCTGTGCTGGTAACTAAGGATCAAATCTCATAAGGGCTATTTTCTCAACTTAAGTTGTATGAGGAATTTTTAGCATTCTCTACCCACCTGAGTGGGTCCTATCACGGATGAAAATAATATTGAACACAGAGTTGAAAAGGCAATGAACCCGTGCCATATTTTGTCATAGATATCTTTTGCCTGAAATTCAGTTTCACCTTAAACCTATATCACTGGCTTGAAAAATTTATGTTTACAATTGTTTAATTAAAACTGCACCGTTTTTTAAGAATATGTTTGTTTATTCAAATCATTCAGGGAACCATGGTAATGGAGTTTGCGTGCATGTGCTACTTCTCCTTTCGGATTCTTCATGCCATGTTCTTTCAATACTCAAGAGTTTTCTTCAAGGATGCCAAGAACATAATTGTGATGGTCTCAATTGTGGTAAGTATTAGGGGTACACTTTTGTGAATTCAATGTAAATGTTTAGCCTGAAAATTCTCAAATATTCAAATATCTAAGCAGACACATCAGGATGGAAGATCTAAGGTTCCTAGTCTAAGGCCCTGGAATGATGACGGCCTGCTTTTAGTGATGTTAGTTGAAATTTCAACAATATCTGGATCAGGTATTTCAGATACATAACACGAGGTGATGGGCTCATTTATTTTTGTGTGTGAAAAGGTTGATATTTCTTGCAATGACTTGCTACTCTCACTTTTAAAAATATCAGGTACATTTTTAAATTGGGGGGGGGGGGGAGAAGGAGTGAAAAAGAAGGATCTTCCAGTGACAACTTCTAGCCACCCAAGTCAAAGATCAGCTGTTGGTCCTGATTTTAACTCTACATGTACATGAATAAGGTGAAGATTTGATCAAAGTCTTTTTTTTCAGCTGACTCTCATAGATATGATCTGCTACATCATATGGCAGAATATGTCGCCAGATACTCATCCAGTGAGATGGTCGAGACCACTGCGTCCTCTTTTCATTGTCAATTTCCCAGATGGAAAGCAGGTTTGTTTCCTTTATCACAAAGATAGGGTATGTTCTGCTGATTTTGGAAGGAAGGGGAGGAGGAGGGGATGATAATAATGAGGAGGAGTAAGAGGCAGGTACAACATCTCCAACAGTGGTAAGCACATGAGGGACAAGATTTAAAGTTATCAACCCTATCTTTAAAGTTTTATACCTCAGCTATCACATAGCATGCTTCATTTAATATTTAGTTTTGGATAATTTGAGGAGTGATTTAATGATTCAGATCTTTATCAGTATTTGTTGCTGCAGGTACAGCTCAGTGGGATCCCCCCCCCCCCCACAGTTGTGTTGTTTAATATTTGATGGAATTTGCATGATCAGGAGAACTCAATAGATGAAGCAAAGATAATGATAATAATAGATAGCATTTGTATAGCACAAATCCCTTCCCAACGGCAAGCTGTATGCACTTTACAATCTATATTATTACCCCAGCAGACCTGATAGCATTCTGAAACAATTTCAACTTCGTGGGAAGCATACAGTACAAGCTGCCATTCTTTAATGGCTCTTAAATACTAAATACTGACAAGATCTTTTGATGTTTATGGCTGGGTACCTATTCCTACCTGGGTGCAGTGAGGAAAATTTGTGTAAAGTGCCTTTCTCAAGGACTCAACGTTGGGCTTGAGGCTTAAACCCCAGAACCCTCAACCTCAGGATTATGAGTTCGGTGGCCTAACCACTTGACTTCGTTAAATATCAAACTACCATGTCAGAACAGAGAATAGATCATCAGCGTTAATGATGATCTTTTTCTCCACTGATCTGCCATCAATTTATTCTACTCACATATTATTATCGCAGAGGAAGTAGAGCCAAGTAGATAGATCAAACTACTGAGCTAACATTACGTAGTACCCGTGTAAAGTTTCCTTAATTTTTTTCTGCAGATTCGCAGAGCATTCCGCAACATTCGACGCACTGTTCCTGATATCATGAATGTCCTGTTTTTGTTCCTGATGAGTGTACTTCTGTTTGGATTGCTGGCCCTGAAGTTGTTTGCAAAAAGGTAGAATTATTATTTTTGCTTCATAGAAGTGCCTTGTTCGTAGTCAAGATTCTGTGGCTTTTTACTTTATTTGCAAGAGATTTCTTCCAATTTTAATATTCTTTTGGAAAATTCATAATAACTTGCAACTATAGTAATATCACATCAAAATCCACTTAGTAATGAAAGAAGCTAGTTTCTTCTGTGTCATATTGTGAACAAATTGCCAAAGATGAAGCCTATTAATTTTCATTTTGTGTTATGCTTCACAGAGGCCTGAAGTACCCAACGGGAATTCCTTATTTTAGCAACTACTTTGATAGCATCTGGGACTTGTACGTCTTAGTGACCACTGCCAACAACCCAGATGTCATGTAAGTAATCTCTGTTTATGGGTTGCGGTTTTTTTGTTTTGTTTTGTTGGGGGGGGTTTTCAAGTGGTATATTTTATGTGTGCTCAATCATTATTTTAGGGATAGATTCTTTCTTTGCCAATTTCAACGATTAAAGCATAGAAGCTTTGGTTATTTTATAACTCACAAAACGTGTTCAACATATCAAAATTGACCTTTGTTGTTATGTAGATTCACTCTTTGTGCGCAGTGGAGGAGGAGGTGGAGATTATTGGCAAGTTAACAAATGGGGAATGATAGTTAATCTAGATGTAATCTAAAAGCTGTTTCAATTTATTATACATGTTTAATTTGAAAATTTAAATTTTGAGAGTTGACAGATACAAAAATAATTTGATGTTGGATTTGTTTGTTCTTTTCAACTCTTAATATAGCGACTGACTCTTTTTTTTTTTTGTATTCCCAGGATGCCAGCCTATGACTACAGCAAATGGTTCTTCATCTTCTTTTTGATATATTTGATCTTATGCTTGTACATTTTCATGAGTATTGTCCTTGCCACAATCTACAATAATTACAAGAAAAATCTCAAGGTAAGTTATTACGATTTGGTTGTCGACTATTAAGAGCTTGTGTTTATAAAGAATCTCACATGCCCTATATATATTTCTGATGTTACTGTTGTAAACACAAATTTTGCTGTGATTGAACAGTACTAGTATTGACTCTGCCCCCCCCCCCCCCAAAAAAAAAAAAAAACAAACCCAACTGTTCATGTTACTCTTGTGTGGAACTCTTGTCACAAGCTGTCTTCATGTATCAGTAGCAGCAGTGACAAAGTGACCTACCCCCAGAATGTTTATTTTACAGGAGATGCAAGAAGTGTCTGAATTTGTCTCTTTTCTACAGTTTTAAAAATGAATATAATGATGACTATATTGTTATCAACATATCGTTTTATTTCTTGTGTAATATTAACTCCGCACACAATGCAAAGACTTATGCTCTGTCACAGAACTTAAGATTAAAAGTGTTGGGTTTTTTTGTGCCAGCTAAGTTTGTACACTATAAGATATATAGTAATCTTTTTTGAGATGTGAAACTAAACATCCTTAATAACACGAGTGGCCTCGCCTACATAATTATTCGAAGGATACAATTTTTAGGAAAAGTTTATCTCTTATATGAAGTGGAGGAGTAAAAATTGATGCAAGGAAACCTTTGTTTGAGAAATAAAACTAAACTTCAACAACAGTTTGTGTATATAAGGAAAGAGAATAGAAATGTTTGGTGTTTTTTTCTGCTTTCCTCATTTTTTTCTTGGAACGTTCAGATCATTTACTGATTGCCTGGAACCTGAATCCGAGAGCCTCAATTATTCTCTCCCATGATGTATAATCAATTACTTCTTTTGTCCTGTTACATATGTAATAGATAAAATGATCTTCATTAAATTCTTTCTTCAGAATGAAATCAGAGCAGCTGTATTCACAAAGCGAAAGCAACTTGCAAAGGCTTTTGACATCTTGAAAGTATCAAGACATGATGAACATGTGATCACACATTCCCGATGGAAGCAACTCATGGGTCTATTACTGCCTAATAAATCTGCCGCTCACACTGATCTTCTGATGAAAATTTTGGACACAGGAAACAAAAACGTTCTTGGTAAGACTGTAAGACTGTCTGACACTTTCAGTTATTTGTCTGAAGAAAGAAGCCATTCATGTAGTCAACTATGACACTAAAGTGAATAATGAAATGAGTGTCTAATTCGTCAGTTTGCAGTGAATTTTGCTCCTTGCTGTACAGTGTTGTGCAAGTTCCACTGTATTCACACACAGTTTGAAAAGGAACTAAAAAAAAGAAGCATATAATATTGTGGACAAAAAAAGATTTCTCAATGTTTCAGCGTGAATTTTTTTTTCAAAGATTTGAAAGCTTTGAGTAAATGAAAGCAGTCTGAAAGGTATGAGAACTCCAAATGACTCCATGGGCTGACGGAAATAAAATAAAATGATTGAACATTGATAAAACTTTTCATCTGACAATCAAGTCAATACTGATACATCAATATAATTACAAAATAAGCTGTTTCGTCTCAAATATTTTGTGTTTACTGGAATACAGGACCTCTTCTTTTTTTCTCTATATCACTTTATTTTTTCTTTCAACTCAATGTAAACCTGCTTATATTCTGGTTTTCAGTGAGTCTAGTCGCAAGCAGGAAATCAGTTATCCTGCATATCCTTTCGTGTTCTGTAAATTCATGCTCAATGTAAAGTGCTGTGCAAACGATCACAGATATCACAATAATTTATAATGTGATCTCTTTTTTTTTTGGTATTTAAAAGATTGTAAATGAGATTAATTGCACATGCTCTGAAATGACTCATGTCCAAAATGAATTTTAATTTTTCAACAGACAAGAAAGACTTTCTTCATTTGTCAGACCTGCTACATCTGCCTTTGTCCGAGGTGAAGGACAGACAGACTTTGTTTGAGAAGTATTTCCCCGATGTGTATAACCATCGCTACAGTGAGCTTTTCAAGCGATTCGTCAGACACAAGTAAGGAACGGAGGAATGGAGGGAAGGACTGAGGGAGGGAGGGAGGGAGGGAGGGAGAGAGAGAGAGAGAGAGAGAGTGAGAGAGAGAGAGAGAGAGGGAGAGAGAGAGAGAGAGAAGGAGCAGCGCATATGTATGCTTTCCTGAGGGAAGAAGAGACAGGGAAGAGGGGAGCGAGGAGTGTGGTATGTTTGAGTATTTTCGTAAAAAAAGAAGGCTGAGAGAGATGTGATAAGATTGGGGCAGGTGGGGGGGGGGGAGGGGGGGGGTGTTAACACATGTGAGTGTATTTATATGTAAATTACTTATGTATCTATTTGAGTGTTCTTGTTTCATGAAGTTAAATGGAAGGTATTTGGTATATAAGTGATGAGTAATCATTTTTAAGCCTTTTTTATCAGCGGTCTTGAGCAGCTGTTTTTAAATACCATCGAATTCTTTACTAAACCTGTGAAGCATGTCCTTTACAAATGAGAGTAGGTCATGTTGTTTTATATAACCTGTATAGATTGTCTTCCCATTGGCAAAACTTTGAGTAGGAATAAATATCTCTCCAAAACAGCAAAAGCATAGTGCATTTTCATCACATTCTCTTTCACATTTCAGTTTTCAACTCAGCTTTTACTCTTTCTTCCTTCCCTGTCTCTTTGTCTATCAATCTGGTTTTAATGCTTTCATTGCATTTCCTTTTTATCTGATTAGTTTTAATTTCTTTTCATCTATGTCCTTTTAGCATGTAAAGATATATAAAAGTAACATGTACACTTATTCTTCTCTTCACAGAGCATTCCGATACTTGTTTGACTTCCTGATTGTCATTAACGCGGTTTTTATTGCCATTGATTTGGATGTTGCCGACTGGTTTTTCCTCTCAATTTTTACTGTGGAGATCCTCTGCAAGCTGTATGTGTTTGGCGCTAAAGAATTCTTCTTACGATTTTGGAACATGTGAGTCAATAATTCTTCTTAGAAATTATTACAGTACACGTTTCTACTCAGTGAATTTTTTTCTCTAATAAATAGGCGCTCTCTATATGCTCATTAAAAAAAATATTTTAGTTACAGTTTTTGAATTATTAGGTTGAACTTTTTATCAACCAAACATCACAGAGTCCAAAACTGCTATAAGCTGATGAAAGGAATGTCCAAAAATGGTTGATGCATTCTCTCTGAAAGTCTTTCCTTTGTTATGCCTTAAGTTTCCTGGTTATCTGTTGAATTTTCCTGCATGTAAGTAGTCTTTGTAATTGTGTTATCGTTACTTGCGTGTACCTGATTTATTGCCGCGAGTTATATTAATGGCCTCATCCACGAACTGAGATATATAAAGAATACCAAATTTTGACTTTTCAGATTTGACTTCCTCGTCATTGGATCTGCTCTTATGGCATCTATCATTGAAAAAGCCACAGAAAAAGGTATGAATGATGAGAGGTATTCTCTTTGTTTCTTAGATTTTCTTCTTTTCTCAGGTAAGTTCAGCTCTAAACAATTAGCTGTGGACTTAAGTGTCATATACAGTAAAACTCACTTCTTTAGAACAAAAGAACAAGATATGAGAATAGATTTTATACAGTCGATTCTTACAAAGACGGGAACACTATTTTCTTTTAATATGTCATATTTAAAGTATGTAACTAATACATTTTACTTATTTCTCTTTTCTTTAACAGTAAATGGCCAGCTAATGTCCTGTAACAGTCAGGTTCTGTGCTGTGACACTCAGGGGATCCAAGTTTGATTCCCTTTTGGGGAGAATTTTTTTGAGTATCTTAGTCTTTCCTTTGGGATGTTGTATTCCTCTCAGCCTGGGTTGGCCCTGACAGACAGAGTCAGAGGCTGACCTCTTTAATGATCTAAATTGTGTAGATGGGGGCGTGAAAACACGTACGTTAAAATGTTTTTTTTGTTCACAGCAAATGAAGAGATCAGCACTCTGGATGTCCTGCTTGTGCTCAGGGTGATGAGACTTGTCAAAATCTTTGGTAGCATTAAAAGGTAATTTTTAAAGTTATTATTGCTCTTTGTTTTGCTGCATTTTTTTCCCAGTTCAATTGTTCTTCAAAGCTCTGGTATTAAGCTAATGCCTCACTTGAGAACCCTAAATATGTTTAAAAGGATTAGGTTGCAAAAGATAGAAACAGATATTTGAGTGTATTACTGATTCAAATTGTATATTAACCACTACAATAGATTAATTTGATTTCCCTTCTTGGCAATTCACTTGAGTTCCTGATGAAATACTCCTAAATTTAGACCCTTAACAATGCAATATGTGCTATGTATGCAGAAAAGTAGCTACAAGATGAGGGTTAATGAATAAACTATGCCTCACTGTCTGCTCTCTTTTGTCAATTTAACTTTTTTAAATGAAACCTCAAACTCTCTAATATGAAAACCTTGATAATGTTTGCTGTGCGGTACATTTTTTAACAGTGTCCAAAAAGTATAATCTTGTTTGATGAAAAGAGCTGAACTGTCTATTTTTATCCTCTTAGATTCAAAGTCATCCTACAGACTCTGGTCAACATTGGACCATCCATTGTCACTTACGGAGGAGTCATTTTTGTAAGTACTGCTGTGTTTGGAAAACCTACACAAAATTACTATGGTTTTTTTTCCTTCAATCATGTCTTAAATGAAGGGATCATTTTATTTTCAGTTCCATCTCTCTTACAAGAAGGGAAAAAATGGGCAAATGTCCACCCATAAATTTGTTCCCTAAGACATGACAATTTAAGATGTCAGTTGTCCTATGGTGTTCCCTCTTAATGTTCCAATATATGTACATTCTTTTTGGGTCTCTGGTGTGGTTTGCTCCTTCTTTCCTATCAAACATCTATCGTCCTATTTCTCCTTCTTCATTTCATGTGTTTGTTTCTCTGTGTTACATCTCTAATCTTCAGTACTTATATAACCTTATTGTGTTGCAAGTGCCATAAAATCTTAATAAATTGTAAAAATATGTTCTTTCTGTTCATTAAAAGCTAAAAACAGGGTGCAATTATTAATATTAATGCTATTAGACAGATGGAATCATAGGAATAATCATCTGCTGAAACTCTCCAGGTCTTCTACTACTTCTTTGCTATCATCGGCATGGAACTCTTCAGTGGCTACATTCACTACTATGGATATGATGAGCAATACATTGGGAGTCATGGAACAAACAAGATGCTGTTCTGTGGCAATGTCAAACTGAACAATTCACTGTTCTACAAGGCTCACTACTGCAACAACAACTTCAATGACATCGTTCAGTCAATGGTTGTCATGTTTGAGTTGTCCGTTGTCAATCAGTGGCATGATATCCTTTACTGAAAGTGCTTAGCCCTGCTCGGTTTACATTTATTCATTCTCTTTATATTATATTTCTGTTTTCCCAGCTCAATAAGTGATCATTATTGTGTTGAGGAGTTTCTCTTTAATTTCAAACTCAAATTTCTGTTCAATCTCTCTCTCTCTCTCTCTCTCTCTCTCTCTCTGTCTCTCTCTCTCTCTCTCTCTCTCTCTCTCTCTCTCTCTCTCTCTCTCTCTCTCTCTCTCTCTCTCTCTCCCTGCCCCTCTCTCTCTCCCTGCCCCCCTTTCTCTCTCTCTCTCTCTCTCTCTCTCTCTCTCTCTCTCTCTCTCTCTCTCTCTCTCCCTCTCTCGCTTTCTCTCTCTGTCTTTCTTTCTCTCCCCCCTCTCTGTCACTGTCTCTCTCTCTGTCTCTCTCTGTCTCTGTGTTTCTCTCTCTCTCTCTCTCTCTCTCTCTCTCTCTCTCTCTCTCTCTCTCTCTTTCTCTCTCCCCGTATGTGTAGGGAATATAAGGTCAGTAGAATACATTAATAGAATTTCCTTCTCTTTCTTTCCATCTCTCAATCTCTCAGTCGATCTATTGGGTCAAGAGAATACATTGGTAGGATTTCCAAGAGCTCTGTACACATCTTGATTTGTTTATTCATTTGCTTGACAGATTGATGAAATAAAAGTTTTTATTCTACATGAACTGATTGGTCATTCAGCACAGTTTTCTTATTTACTGTCCTTCTTTTATCCTCGTCTTTTATTCTGCCTTTAAAAAAAAATTATGCCAGTCCTCAGCCCGTACTCAATCTTCGGCAGTCCCATTTCTGTCTAATACTTTTCATACATAATGCATTCACTTCCTGCTTTAATTACCATCATCACAGTGCTTATGAAAACATTATGTTGATGTGAAGATTCAATGTAAAGAGAAGAAAAGTATTAATTGAGTTGCAAGACTCAAATATGATGTTCGTTGTTTTAAAGGAACCATTCTATGAAGTGGGTAAGACAAAGCATCTATTACTAATCGCTTGTGTTTTCCTTAACATTCTGCAATCATTACTTCAGGATTCGTCCTTGTCACGAGTAAAGTGGCCAGACTTTACTTCTTCGCATTTCATTTATGCTGCGTCGTTGTAGTTTTAAAGTAAGTTTTCCTGTGATGGGGAGATTAAACATTCTTCTCTTATCAGTAATATTTACAAATTAGTTCATATTGTGGCACTAAGCTCAACTAAAAAGCTTTGTGCAGTTTCCCATGAAATATTTAACATCAAACTGCTTTGGGTGTAACATCAGCTCAATGAAGTAATACAGGACTGTGGTGCTGACCACCCATACCAAGAAGTGTCATTTTATAATTATATTTGAACTTATGTTGTTTGGGGAGTTTTTTAAATCTCCTTATTCACTTGGCTTGGTCCTATCATCATCATCATCGAGTGCTAGATCTGAAATAAACATCAGCAATCATGGTTCACCACTCATTTATTGGATGCTCATTGAAAACCTATATATATTATTCTGGTCTTTCCGTGTCACCCGTCTGCTCAAGTTCACTAAGTAAGTTGTTCTTAGTTAACCTCTGCCACTTTTGCCTTCTATTTTTTCCAGTGAGATCACAAGACCTTAATGTTGATTCAAGTGTCCCAGAAATTGAATTGATCTATTTGTAATTGTGTTTAATTAGTGAGCGGCTCACTCATACTTCTTTTAGAAGTGTCTCATTTGAAACCTTTTCTTTTCATGAAATTTTTAACAGTCTATTGAGAAGCCGCATTGTTGTTGCTTTCAGTTTATCTTATCTGTCTGTGGTAATTATCTGGCATTCACCACTGTATAGAAGGGTTGACCACACATAGCCTCTTATATTTGTTGTCGTTAAAATGTTTTTACAAGAAAAGATTAAGTCACATTTCCAATCTCTTACTAAGAGTCTTAGAGAACCACACTGTAATGAAAGGGGCATGAAACACACAACATATCCCTTCATCCCACTTTAAATAAATGGGTGGAGGGGTGGGGTTGGGGGGGGGATGGATTGTCCTAAGTCAAAAGTTTTTGTGAATCATTGTATCTTCATTTTATGACTCTCTTTTAGGAAATAGGATTTTTTAAATTAACTTTATCATGGAGATATTTACAAATTTTTCTACAAATTATTTTGTGGCTTTTGCTGTTTTTTTCTTTAACCACAGTATGTTATAATAAATTAGAAATTATCTTAATTTTATAAATGTAATGGGAATTTGCCACAAATTTGTCTTGCTTTTTTACTTTCAGCATCTTCATAGCTTTCATTCTGGAAGCATTCATTTTGGAGTACACTTTGCAAACTGTGCCAAAACTGGAGTCATTGGTGGAAGCCAAAATCAAGGAGCTGGGTCTTGGCATTGGAATGTGAGTACTAAAAAGGAAGAGGGTTATCATCATCTATGAAGCTTATTCCCCTACCCCCTCCTCCAAATCCATTAACACCTTTTCTATTGTGATCCAGAATTTGTTTGTTATACAAATTACCGCCCATCTGTGTTTTTATCCCAGCCACAGTTCTCTTTCCACAAAAGTCTGAAGAGGTTTTTAGGGATTATGCAAATCAACCAACAGTCATATCTTTGGTTCTCCCTTATTTTGACTATTTGTTTATTTTTTCTTATTTTGTAACTTGTCCTGCATAATTGACCCACGGCTGCTTAGTTCAGTAGCTCAACAGGTATGGTGCTCACCTGTCAATCTGGAGATCTGGAGTTCAATCCTCACCAGTGTTGACTTTTTTATTCTCTCATGTTTTCTATACCTGAGGTAGATAAGATTAAACAGCTAGTCTTGGCAGATATGAATGAAACATCTTGGAGGTCCAGTGTTGAAGTTTTGCATGTTTAAGATCCCTTGGTGGTACTAAAATTGGAAAAATTAGACCTTCTGGGCCACTGTCTGAGCAAAATTCAAAATCAATTCCTACCTCAAACTGAAGCCACTCTAGTCAGTATAAATATTTAAGAGTGCCTTCCAAAATGGCATGTAGCTGCCTGTTAAGCAAGGAACAAGTACATTCTATGTAGATAAAACAGCAATGTACTTTAAAACTACAGCACTGTGATATTAAGATCTTACAGCCACTTACCCCTGGCGCTCCAGATGGGGTACAAGAAAAAAAAAGACTGCAGAACTCATCAAAGCCTCTCCGATTACAGTCAAATGATCCAAAAGTCAAACTTGTCATATAGTTTTAGTTCACTTTCGTTTTGAGAGATTTGTGCTGAATGAGTAAAGTCATTTCTTTTTTCTTAGCTATGTTTATAAAATACTTCCAGTTAATGGTCACAACTACGTTGTATACCATAGTGAGTGGCAGTGCAACAACACATGACCTTAAGTGGCACAGATCTACACAGCTGTTCCTTATTGTAATATTTCTATTATTTCATAATTGACCTCTCTACTGTCTCACTCATTTAAAACATTTAACCTTTTCTACACAAGAGAAAGGATAGATTAAAACGTTATTATTTTAGTTTCTCAATTTTTTAGGTAAAAGTAAAAGGTGTTGCTTCTCATCATACTAATGATTACTTCTAATTGGTCTTCGCAACTCCCCAGATATTAAAGTATTTAAAATTCACTTGGGCCACTGTTTGGCAGGAGAATTGTTAAAACGTTGGGTAAAAAAATGTGCACAGGCAATTTTGAATATCACTCGGTATATTTATCTTATACATTGTCCATATCTGTACTATCTTATCTGTTGGTCTATTACAACCCGTGCCGGCTATAAGCATGCCGGCCTTAAGCACGTTTCGGACTCAAGCACGCTAAACGGCTCTTACCGAATTTTTGCTATATAAATTACACGCCTATAAGCACGGTAACTTCGGCTTCAAGCACGCTTCATTTACAAGACAGTCAATATTTTCATGATGACCCATCGAAGTTCGAACACAGTTTACACTGCAACAGTGGAGTGTGTCAAGAGAAACACGAAGAATGCAAGTGATGGACACACACACCCGCACAGGCGGAGAGGAAGGCAGAGATATACACACAGCCGTTCGCGCGGACATAGGATCTAGCCTAGGCCTAGGGCAAAGCTACACACGATCCCCCCAAAAAAAGAGAGTCGGGGAGATGAGAAAGGGAGGCTGGCTGTGATTTCACCTTTGACCCTCACTACCCATTAATCCTGATTGTGTATCATGCGCGAGGTGGGATGAAGGCGGTGGTATGAGTGGCACAGCGGGCAGTAGTACGCACAGGCAGTGTGTTACAGTAGGCCTAGTGTGCTGTATCGTGACTGGCCGTCTAAATTAAGTTTTCATTTCCCATGCGACCACAAAACAAAAACAAACAAGCAAACAAAAACTACCATGGTGGGTGTCTAAATAACAGTGCACACTTTTGCGGGACCGCTATAGGCCTACTTACAAACAAAGGGAAATAGCACTGGGAATTCTCTACATGAAAATCTCTGGATTATGTCTACTTCGCACTTAAGCACGCTTCGGCTTTAAGCACGCTTAAGCTTTCTCCCGATGACCGTACTTAAAGCCGGCATGGACTGTACTATTAACTAGGATGTTCCAGCCAAAAAAAAAAAGCAACTGTAGCTGTCTCATTTAGTTTTTTGGTTTTATTTTTCTGAGAATTTCCAATTAAATGTAATTTAATGACTAGTGATAAAAATCAACTAGAAGTAAGGCAACAGTTCCTTTGTTTTGTCTGAAAAAAGACACTAACGGAGAAACACCATGATAGTTAGTGCGGTAAAAAACTGCAGCCTCCAAAACAAAAGGGAAAAAGTTAAAAAAAATTTTTAAGTTATTCTCAAGAAATTTATTTTGCAATTAATAATACCCATCAACATCGTCCTCCAACACCTTATCATTTCATTTTTTTGTCAACATGCTTGCTTGACTTTTCTTTTCTTGAATACACAGGAAACCTCGTTCGGCATCCATTCAAGGGCCATCAGGTGATAAGATAGAGCTGGTAGATGAGGAGGTTTTGCCCGAGACTGATGTGGAAGGGGGCGGAGAAGGTGACGGAGAGGACCAGGGAGACGACAGTGACACAGACAGCATTCCTGATCTATCCAAAGAGAAAGGCTTGAAGTTTCACCTGAAGAAAAAAAGTAAACTTTCTTTGTACTTTTTCCACCTCAAAGTCAAAGAAATTTCTTACGGGGATTCATTATCTGAGAGGGAAGGTCCTAGGCTTCCATGGCAGTGCTAGTGGAAACTTTTCTCTTGGTTCTTGATGCTCATGGTAGAGAAGATAAAGCACCAAGTCTTTCTTTGATAAAGACAAAACACTCAGAAGTCCTACGTACACATGCACACTAAGTATTTTTATAATAAAGACAGGTTTTTGTAGAAGTTGAAATAAAACCAAGCCTGGCTGTACAAAATTGAATTAAAAACTAAATAAATTCTGCTTGGTTTTAACAACAAAGAAAACCTAAAAGAAGTGCGAGGTGGCCTTAAAGGCAAGGAGCCTTTACTCATAAAAATTTGCTGGGGTGTAAGTTATCCCTACAATAGACTACCCCTGAAAGCTAGCCATGGAATGTAGAAAAAAAAAAGAAGAAATCTGGTTTTCATTGGGCTTTAGGAAGGATCCAAGGAGGAGCAAAAGCATTGTTGTTCTAACAGTCCATCTGTAAGATTCTCTTTGTATTATGTTAATATAACATTAGCGTAGCCAAACTGTTCATTTGTATTGAAATGTTGTTGAAAAATAATGGTAACAGTATTGTGGTCTAGGGAGTTTACCCATTACACTTGCAAACTGTTCCACCTTTTAAACTTTTATGAAGAGAGAAATTTTCTCTAGGCACAGAGAATGATGGAACAATTAGGTGGGTACGGGGATCTGCATCTACAACAAAGACTCTGTTAAAATAAAGGCTGCTTTTTTTTCTATTTCTCCTCCAGGTCGCAAAAAGGTTGAAGTGCTACTACAGCACATGTTCCAGGGTGAGATTGATGATGACGATGAGGGGCCCTCAGATTTGGAGAACATTGACAGCTACAGAAAAAACAGAAAACTGACTCTAGAAGAAGTTACGTGATTGAACGTATCATTGTTTTTTTTCCTAAGATTATAACATACACAAAAAAGCCTTGTAAATAAGCAGATTTTTTTGCCCTTGATGGACATTCAAGTCTCTCCCCATGTTGTGAAAAAAGCTTTCTTAACCCCTTCTCCCCACCCCTTCCTTCCAATCTAAGATAGGAAGGAAAAAAATTCCCAAAATACTCATTACATTGTTTAAAATATTCACAAACTCCTTTCCTGCTTGTCAAACCAGCACTTAAATCCACTTCTTAATAGCATTGCCATTGGCTGCATGCATTCATCCCTTAATTGCTGATGTTCTTCACATTTACACTCAAACATTTTGTTTCTGACAGCTGTTTCTTTTGCTTCAGTGCAAAAGAACAATGGTAAGGATAATAATACTTACAGCAATAATGATAATATCGGCCCTTTTCAAATTTCACCTTACAGTTGTATAAAACCAAGAAATCCCTCATCTAGACATACATGCACACATCCAAATGGACACATATATACAAAGCATAAACAATTCATGCTAAAAGAGCAAACATGTACATTTTCAAAGCTACATGCACCACCATTTGCACTTGCACTTTTTGTCTGATGTTCTCACACACACATACACATGTGTATATGGTCACATTCAAAATTCAACATGGGTAGTGAATATGTTCCATCTAATGGTCACAGAAGTATTATTTTCAAAACTTTTGCAAGAGTTTTCATTTAAAAATCTGTTGGTTGTCAGTGGACCTAAGTTTCCATGGACCTTGAAAATATCCGTGTTTGCTTTCCAAAGTTTAAAGGGGACAAAATACACATGACCCAGTGGTTGGCTGAAGTTCAGCAAAAATCCTGTTACTAAAGTACACTTTAAGCAGAAGAGTTGCCAAATGTAATTGAATTATCAGTGTAAACTGACAAAACCTTGGGTCAAAAGCAGATGCCCCGTAAGCTTCTGGATCACTATCAGCAACAACAACAATAATGATTATAGTTTTTGTTTTAATAATGATAATGCCCAAGGACACAAAATGTTGCCCTGACCAGGATTTTGACCCACAACCTTAAGAGCCTATTACATGTACAGGCCAACCGGACAGGTTTTTGACCGTAGGCAGGCCGTACGGCCAGACGAAATCGAGGAAACTTGGTTTTTTGTTACACACCACAATCGACCTGAAGGCGGCCGCACCTTGCGAGCAACGTATTCTACACACTAGGCCTAGTCTGGGTGAAACTTCACACACGTGTGTGCCCCATGACGCACAAAACATAAAAATGTGCTGGAATGGAAAATCCTTAAATACAAAATGAAACGAGTCACTCTGCAGCCATTACCCTAATTTTGATACCCTGATTCTGAATCAGGTATTATTTTTTATCTACGACATGATTTTACTTCAGTTGTCCCCAGCGCAGCAAACTTCGAAGGCTGGATGGCCGGACGTCAAATTCACAGGCAGCGGCTGTGGGGGTTTTTCATCCGGCCGGCCGGCCATTCGCCGGATGTTCACCTACGGTTTGAGCTGCATTTCTTATTACATGTTACGATTGGCCGTATGGCCCAGAAACCTGTCCGGTCGGCCTGTACGTGTAATAGGCCCTTTACAGTTGCGAGTTCAGTGCCTAATCACTAGCCTACTGATGCCATAACCCTAATTCCTAATTTTTACATGAATAACATTTAGAGTTTTGGCACATTTACATAATTGAGCTCATTTTTTTAATGAACTAGAACAATACTCAAGGAAAGAGTTTCCCCTCACTTTAAAGACACTGTTCCATAACAACAGACAATTGTGTTTTTGTTGTTTTGGTCTTCAATTTTTTGTCTGAAACGATGGTGTATCTGGCTAATTCAGCTACTGTGGACCAGAAAACATCAGTTGCAGTGAGTGCACAGAAATGATTGGTGCTCATAGCTCTGTTGTGGTAGGTTGTGTCTCTTCCATTGCCAATATATGTACCGAATTCTTGCCACTGTTTGATAATGTTTGAGTGAGTCTCACAAATCCAGTTCATGTGGAGTATCATCTTATAGGTATATTATCAGCATCATGCCACAATGACGTAAATCAATTTTTTCGGGTTTCCAGATCAACCCATTATTCAAATAATGACAACAAGGAGCATCTTAAAATGTAGTTTTATTCTGTATCATTATTTCCCTCCTACTCTTAATTGAAAAAATAATTTGCCCAAGTAATGGAACTGATTTGGCATTCTCTTTGATTTTCTCAAAACGTAAAAAAAATGACTTGGCGCTTTTGGATTGATGTTGACAATTTGTGAGTATGCATCCATATGTGTTTGAATTATTATTTTCTAGTATAATGTAGTTCCTTCTGTCAAATGGATTATATCTTGGTAAGGTAGAACAAGTGTTCATAATGCAATGTAACGGTTGACCTACCTTTTGAACAGATAGGTGCGTTATTATTTCATTAAAATAAATATACTGAAAAACTTAAATGCTCTCAAGCTTGAACAGATTAAAATGCTAGTGTGAAGTGTTGAAGGTTTCGTAAAGCAGCTGAGGACCTCACCCAACATGTGTCATCAGTTTAATCAAAGTGTTTTCAAAGATAAAATTTTAAGCCGAAATTTGCATTTAAAATACAGTCAAACCTGTGTAAGACGGCCACCCATTGTCATGGAGGAAAATGGCCGTATAAGACAGGTGGCCGTCTTAGGCAGGACTGATCAAGATGAAGAAAACAAATCATTCCCATCTGAGGTCCCAATCGAAAGTAGCCCCATTGTTGTTATTTTTGTTGTTTTTGTTGTTGTTGTTGTTGGTTTGTATTTCGTTTGTAATTTTTATTTTGTTGTTGATTTTGCACAAGGGTGACAATAAAACGAAATGTATCAGAAATGGAGTGCCATGTTAAAACAAACACACGGGTCGCCACCACTCGCAGAACGAGCGACGCTTCTGTCACAAGTTCATGTTGACGCCCTTTGTTACTTTGTTACAGACTGGATAAACAGTGACCACTCATCTCACTTACGATGTGTGTATGAGTTCTGGGCGGGGCTTATGGGTTATGAGGGATCACTCGCTAACCTCACCAGCAGCTGAAAATTGGTAGCTATTGGTCAACAGTGGGAGGGGTCTACGCAACATGATCGGTTGGAGGGACTACCTAACACCAAAGACAGGTGATTGAATTATGACAGCTCGCCCACAACGCCAGGGGCCAGTGCACAATTTATGACAAAACGCAATGGAGTCTCTAAGGTGGCCGTCTAAGACAGGTGTTTTTGCTTAGTATGATAGGTGTTGTGTGTTAAATTATGGTGGCCGCGGCTGCGTTGGACAGGTGGCCGTTTTACACAGTTAAATTATATAGAGAAAACGCAAGGGGGGAAATGGAAAGTGACCGTTTGTACAGGTGGCCGTCTTATAGAGGTGGCCGTCAGGGCAGGTTCGACTGTATACATGATATTTATATGGACAGAAATAATGCTTATATGGTCAGTATTGATTAAATCATAGCGAATGTTTACAGTTTGAATCATTTATTGGCAGACTTGTTGGTAATACTTTGTACTTACCAGTTCTTCACAATTTATTACTTTTTAAAAATTTCTGATAATTATTATCTTTTCTGTTGAATGCAATGAATATGTATTTTATATGTTCCTTTGTGATTAACTTGTATGCCCAATGTTAAAGAAATATCTAAAACTAAATCACCAATGTCTTTTCACTGTATGAGTATGAGATAAATACTCATTGTTGGTTGATGTATTTCTTGTTGTAATTTTTAACCTCATTGGAACTTGAATTAAGTCAAAGCCTTGGCGTTGAGTGGACAATCTTCAGTCTTGCATCAGAAAATTAAATGTTTGTCCCAGCAGAATTTATGAAAGTTTTATCTGTGCTACAGTTTGCCTTGTGATGATATTGTCTCAGCTTGTGCTCACTTAGAGGGTGAATAAAAGTATTGAAACTCGAAGTGCATTCAATTTCTTTTGCTAGTAAAAGAATGGGAACAAAATTGTAAATAGTCTTGTGACCATGGACTCATTTTGTGAACATGAAGTCAGGATCCTTCGTTGTCTGATTTCCACAAAAATGTAAAAACTATCTACATTAAGTAACAACTTCATGGCGCTGTGGAAATGAATTGCTCAGAAAGTTCATCTTCATATCAACAAAAATGTTTAATAAATAAGCTACCAACTTTTGACATATGTTGTCTTGGACATTCAAGAACTTGAAATCATTACTCTTTATTGGACCTCCACATGATATTAAACTTCTGAAACATGCCTTCAAGGATGACACAAACTTTGTAGGCTAAGTATTTAAATCCTCAAATTTTATTCCAAAGCCATTCTAATAAAATATCATGCTGCACAGTTTCTTATTTATCTAAATAAGCACAAAATTATAATACTGAACCACACATTGACTTAACAAATAGATATGAACACAAAAATATTTTTACAAAACCTTTTATTAATTCAAACAGCTTTTTCCAAATCAAAATTCACATAAGCATACATTAGAGATGTTGAACATCTGCAAAGCTAAAACTATGTGGACGGATTTTTTAATAGGGAACAAAAGAAAAGACTTGAAAGTTGTAATGGAATGTTTTAAGCATGTCGGAGAACCTTGGTCTCAATCAACTGTTCTACTTGTCAATACAATTTAATGAATCAGTCATAAAAGTCAAAGTCATCTTCAGGCCTCTTGCTGCTTCCGAAAATGCCAGCATCCACCTCAGTATCAGTATCCAAATCTGAGCTGATCTTCACCCCTGTTTGAGAAAAGAACATCAGCAGAATGTTGTAGTGGTAGGAATACTGAATCAAAGAGGCACGCCCAATTGTTTGTTTGATAGTATGTTTGTTTGAATTCATACTTACTTGTAGACACTCCTGGGTCTAAAAGTTTTAACCATGTCAGAAAACTTTGCTTTTTTTTTCCCCTAAAAAAAAAAATCCAGACTTCTTGTCATTTTAAAATGTTCTAGCACTGAAGAACTAAAGTATCTGATTACAAATTTCATTTCATTCATTTATTATTAGGGGAGTCTTTGAGTCATATCGGCATCAGTGGTGTTGTGGTTTTGTACTTTGCCACTACATGCAAAAAACAAGGGTTCGATTTTAATGTGGGGATCATTTCTATCAAGTATCTCTGTCTTCCTTCTGGGACATTGTATCCCTCTTAGCCTGAGTAGGTCCTGGCAAGCAGGAACAGCCTGCCTCCTAAATGATCTAAAAGTGTCGATGTTTATGGGGACGTAAAACTTCTATAAAGAGAAAAATTACCAAAATCTGAGTCAATGGAGGATAAGAGAGGTACATTGACATGTTAAGTATATCATTCAATGCTGGGAAAAAGAGAGACGAGAAAGTGAAATAGCAGAGGGCTCAGAACCTCCAACCATCAGGACACATCGTATCAACAATGTTCTTTAAAAAATATTTCATCAAGTTCACAGCATTTGCATTTTTTACGTTCTGTACCAGCAGAATGACCACCACTCTGACATTTTTTTTTTGGTAAGTGTTTTACGGCGCTCACAACTGCATAAGGTCATATGAGCGCGCAGAACACACCAAACATTTTCAGTTGGTAGGAAATTTTTAATTTTGCGCAGGTGGTGGCCGAGGCCTACTCTTATCGATTTTAGACCAGCAAGGGATCTTTAACATGAGCAACTTGCTCATGGGACCTCCAGATAGAAAGCTAGGTGTAGATCTTTCCTACCAGAAGATCAGGGGCATGGCTGAAAGACAGCAGTTAGAAGAAGCCAAGGAGTAGCAGTTGAAGTTGAGAGGCTGCAGAAAGAGTCAGAAGCCCAGAGAAGGGGGAAAAGGAGGGTGGGGGAAGAAAGTGAAGACGGAAGCAGATGACAGAACATTGCTAGAGAGCAAAAAAGGAAGTGAAAGGAGACAATTTTAGAGAGAAAAACATTTCCATCGCTACCCGGATTCGAAAGCAGGACCTTTGAATGAAAGGCGAACACCGTAACCTCTAGGCCGCGACAGCCCCCTCTGACATCTTTGAAAATAAAATTGGCTACATGAATTGAGCAAGATAAATGAGGACAACTGATCTATTTAACCCCTTCATGACATTTGCCATTTGTCACTTCTTGTTATACAGAAAAGGAGGCAAGATGCTGCTATGACATACACGGTGCGACATGCCTTGCAAAGCACGAGGACCATGATGACGAAAGCTGTTCATCATGGGATGTATTTGGCACACTGCTTCTATAAGATGAACTACATAAAACTAATTCCAGATTCACATTCAGCAATATTTTTCCTGTACAAAGAAATCTTTTCTTTTTAGAAATAGTAAGTAGTATTTACAAACTGGGTCTAATCATATACAACTGACCACTAAATCTAGCACTACTCTTTGTTCCTGGGGATCCAAAACTGCCCGGTAACGCACGAACTGACCCTGAGGGTCAAAGGAGTTAATACGAAGCAGCTGCAGTATAACATCAATCCATCTTTGTCTATTTATTATAAATGTAAAGGTTGAATTTTATCTCTCTCATAATAATAATCTCCATACATCAATAACTTTTGAGCTAATGATGTAAAATTTTCTTACCTTGAAATTTCGGCTGTCCACTGCTGGTATTACCTCCCATAGGCCTGAGGAGACAACAAAATATTCTTTAGCAATATAAAAACAGTAAATGTGTTTTATGAAACCTGCATATTTTTTCTACATTCTTGTAAATTAAATGATACTGCATAAAGAATAATACCTGGTACCACACTTTTCGGGGATTTTCTGTTAATTATGCAGACATAGCACTGAGACATTTGAACCTGCTCTTACAGCCACCTATCCAAGACTTTCACTTGTATAAACAATCACTTCCGACTTTCCCCCTTGTATTTTTTCATATTAGAATGACACTGTCCAAGATGTCCATCTTCTATCAAAGACAACCTTTTTTCTCCTCAATAATGGGAGGCCATTGTAGACAATTTTTACTGCCTATAGAAAATATATTGACTTCTCAGTGTAAGGCTGCGTCATAAGTGACTTTTCAAGGAGAAGGAGGAGAAAAAGGAGAAAGAAAGTGACAATTTAATTAACAGGCAAGCAAAAGATCTCAGGTACATACATTTCCAGAATGAGTAGAAGGAAAGTAGTAAATCCATAAATAGTATGAGAAAAGCAGGCACACATGGGAGTGTGTGTAAATGCGTGCGTGCGTATGTGTGTTTTTGAAGGAGAAGAACAAAAGTAACAATTCTATAACAAGTCATAAGAGAGACCACAGGTTATGCAGAGGCTTCTTATGGAAGGAGAAGGAAATTAACAATTTAAAAAATAAGCATGAGAAGGATCACAGGTAAGCGTTTATGATGTTTAAAGGAGGAGAACAAAAGTAACAATCCTACAAATAGCCATAAGAAAGACAGCAAGGTACTCATAGACTTCTAAGGGAAGGAAAAGGAAAGTAACAACTACCTAAATATGCTCGAGAAAAATCATAGATATAATACATAATGTGGGTGTAGGAGATGAAGAAAAGGAATATTTACATAAATGTGCATGAGAAAGGCCACAAGTATTTATATGTTTATAGAATGAGAAGGTAATCAACAATACAATGTAAGTTGTGGCAGAGACAAAATGCTTTTCTGTGGGAATACTAAACTGAACAATTCGCTGATCCACAAGGCTGAGTACAGCATTAAGATGGATGAGAAAAAAGGTAAGCATGCTTAACAAGGAGGCAGAAGAAAGAAATAAAAATACTGAAAGGCAAAAGAACAGGAACTGGTATTATGTACGTAATATCACCTGGACTCCATAGCAGTTGGGACGTAGACATGAGAGGCCGTCTGCAGTGTCTGTGAGCTTGTTTCTGATGGGTCATCCAATTCTACACGTCTTTTAGGTGAGATCATAGGTCTGAAAAACATTAAAAGCACAAATAATGCATTAATAATTGCCTTTACAGCTTTAAATACAATAAGACAAATCTCTTGTTTAAAACTAAGAGCTCAGATCTACAAGTAAAATAACAGAAAAAGTAAACATGATAAAGAATTTATTACATGAGTTGTGGTGGTAGATCATGATTTATCCTACGAGTGAAATTGCCAAGTTGTAATCCCAAGTTTCAACGAGTGAATCATGGTCTGCCACCTTAACGATTGTAATAAATTTGTTAAACCATACTGACATCAGCTGGCCAAATTTGATCCGGACCAACAAAGTTCAAATGAACAACCAATTAATTCGACAAGAAGATCCATTCAAGCGTTTTAGATTTAGATCTAGTTCTATGTGACGAAAAAAATTGCACCTCCTTGGGAGTCAGAGTGGGGACTGGAAAAACCTGGATTGTTTTCATTTAGATCTTTATTGTGCTATCCGTAGGCCTATTTCTCCGTCCGCAAAATAAACCTCAAATAAAACAACAATGACGTAAGCGTAAGCAAAGCAAGCAGAAAACGTACAATTCAAAAGTTGAAAGATTAAGAAACTGCATTCAAATGACATGTTGTCGTGAGAATAGAGATGACTTTGATTTTAAACTTTGCAACCAAAACAAATCAAAGGCTAGATCTAGATCTAGGTCGTTTGCTAGCATAGACTTGTGCATTGCACTAAAATACATTGCCGCACTCTGACGTAATCGCGTGTTACTATGGTGCGCACCATTTGGCTCAATTTGGAACAAAATTAAGGCCAACGTAAAGAACTGTGCCTACTCTCTACTATAGGGACTGTGGGAGACTGGTGTTTGGCACTTCATTTAGGTGCCTATGGTGCGCACGTTTTGCAACAAAGTTTTTCTACGAGGGGGGGGGGGGGGGAGAGGCTGCCAAAACATTGCTTGGTCTAGGAATAGGCCTAGATATCTACTATGATTCAAGTCTATAGATCTACTTTAGCTACAGAAGGTTAGCCTAGAAGGCGAATATATTGCACGCAGTAATTTGTGCAAATTTTTATATTTCACGTGTGAGATATCGTCAGCTTAGGGCTAGCCTATATTTCACGTGTGAAATATAAGGATATATTTTACCGGAAGTGCAAGGCTAAAACAACTCCAAGTATGGTATTAAAAATATTTTGGAATAATTGTATCTTTGCGCTTGATTTAGCACTTACCAGTCGAGACTCCATCTGATACTGCTCAAAAGTAATAAAAATAAAAACTATGCTTGTTTATAGAACCTAGAAGATACTTCTATCGGCAAATGTCAAGCATAATAATATTCTATTATTATCACATAAGCACAAAGAGAATTTATTCTCAAAGATAACATTTTGCAGGCAGTTGGCAGATGCTCTGGAGTGGTTTGCTCCTTCTTTCCTATCAAACATCTTTCGTCCCTTTCTCTCCTTCGTTTTTGTGTTTGTTTCTCTCTTGTAACACTTCTAATCTTCGGCACTTATATGACCTTATTGTGTTGCATGTGCTGTAAAACTCTTACTAAAATTAAAAGATAACATTTCAACTTTATATTAGTTCTAGTCATTTTCAATACAAAATTGTTTTACTTCGAACTGGTAAGAATGTCACTACCTTCAGTTTACAAACAATAAAAACTTTTCAGATCAAACTTGAACTCTGGTGTTTCCAATCTCCACCCCACAAGACAAAGTCAAGCTAAATTCCAGGGGGGGTTTTCACTTACTTTTTCTGCACTCATCAATACTTTAGAAAAATTGTGGAAAGGATCATGTAGTCAGTATATGTACGATATCAGGGAGAATTATATCACTAAGAATATGGTAGCTGTTGGGTTTTTCATGTAGTGCCTTCCTTCTAACATGGAATAACATCAAAAGGCTAGTCCAGGATAGAGAAAGGTGGAAGGTGTTTGCTCGTGGCCTATACCCTGGTGCACGGTGAGAAAGGCAATGATGATGATGCCTTCCTTCTGCTTTTCTCAATGTTAATATTCTTCTATTAACCCCCCCCCGAAACGCAGCCGCAAGGCATCATCACTGACTGAAGTTTCTTTACCTCGTCTTTTTTCCTCTACTTCTTTTTCTATTTGTCACACTCTTGTGACCTGCTATTTCCGGGGTGCCTTGATAGTCGAAGTAGACTTTGGGCTGCTGAAACTAGAGAGGTGAGCAGAGTAAGCCTGATTCCCTGAGGGCTTCTCTGTTAACATCCACCTCTTGGCGCTCAAGTTGCGAGCGCAGTAAAACCTCTGCTAAAAAAACAACTGTTCTATTATTCTAAATTGCTGCAGGTGACTTTTGTGCCAATTTGTTGTAAATAACACATCAGCTCAATTCAAAACAGGGAGCACCAAGCAGAGAGACAATGCATACACACCCAGGCTTCTGGGTCAGAACTGTGGCAATCTGCTTCTCCACATCATCATCAGTATCATCCGGACCAGATGACTGACGCCTCATCTGAGAACGGGCACCCGTAGACAGCATGCTCTTGTAGGCTTCTGTTTCTACAGTAAAGTGTGACAATACATTAAGAAATATTTGTGAGCTGTTATTACAACACATACAAGAGGCAAGTTAAAGAGCTAGATTCATGAAAGTAAAAGATGTGTGAAATACATTTTAAAACATTTGCAAGCTGTTATTACAATACATACATGAGAAGAATTAAAGAACTAGATTCGTGAGAGTAATAATTAGTTGTTTTGTCACAAATGTAATCAACTTTTTGAGGTAAACCATTGCTATATGAGCAAGGAAACTGCAGAGCTTCATAAATGGATGCTTAAGAAGGATAGTGGGGATCAAGTGGTACGATCAAGCAACAAATCTTCAAGTGTGGGAAAGAACAAGCAAAAGGCCAGTAAAGGAAGACATACAGGTGAAGAAATAGAAATGGATTGGGCATACCCTGAGAAGACCCCCGACATGCATCATCAGACAGGCTTTGACTTGGAATCCACAAGGAAAACGTAAGAAAGGAAGACCAGAGAAGACATGGAGGCAAGCGGTAGAAGCAGAAATGGAAAAGGCGGAGACATCATGGAAACAGCTAGAAAAGGATGCACGGGACATAAATTAAAAAGGGCAAGAGAGAGAGAGATTGCTATATGGTTGTTAACAAATGATCAGAGTACAGTACTTATATCTTTCAGTGAATACTGCTTAACATTACATCATTATTACACTGCACAAAAACTACTGATACCAAGAACGGAAATTGAAAAGAAAAAAGAAAAAAAAATTAACAATCTCCCATGAAGTATATCTCAACTCCCAACTAAAGTATACTAGGCCATTGTTACCATTGAGAGGTGTTGGATCCCGAGGTAGACTAGATTTCACATAGCTGGATTCATCATCACTCAGGGGTTTATCCAGTAGACTTCCAAATTTGAGTGGCGGCACTGAGGAAAAGCAAATGAAACTTGTCAAAGTTTAAGAAATTGAAGGAGATGCTCAGAATAGTAGATGTCTGCAGATAAGTAATAGACTTTAAATTATTGTACATGTTTGTATCCCTTTAAATACAGTTTAGACATTTAAGAGGTCAATTGCTTCAACCCTACCTGTGGGATACCACATCTCAACAGAAAAAAGAAAACAGCTGGTAAAAATGTTTTGTTCTTCTAATAACCAAACTAATATCTTTTGCTTGCAATCAATTCAACAGAGGTGCTGGTGGGAAGCACTGAGTAGCCAAAATAAAAAGAGGCTTATGACAAATAAATCCTTCAGAATCAAATGTTTGAGCCACAAAAGGATCTCAGGAGATTAATAACCTTCATGCTGATGACTATAATGCAATCTTGAATGCGAATTTAAAATCAATAATTCAGGAGTCCAAAAAGTGAACCATATAAGTTTTTTGAGAATTTGTCTCAGCAAAGAAGAACGGCAGTTACCTTTCCCATCATCCATGAAACTACCAGATCCTTCCAGAGTTTGAGCAGGGCTGATAGTGTTGAAACTTTGTTTGGGTAGAATTTCAGGGTTGTTCATACTAAAGTCTTCTAAGAGCCGTACCATAAACATGTGTCCCTGAAAATATCAAAATAAAATGGGCAAAAATTAAGTAACTATTCACAACATGAACCATTTTAATTTGTATCTGTGGGTAGTTGGCCGGTGCTCTGGTGTGACTTGCTCCTTGTATCCCATCAGATATCTATCGTCCTTATCTCTCCTCCTTCTTTTCATTGTATATTGCTCTCTAGAAACACCTCTAATCTTTGGCACTTAAATCATCTATTTGTGTTGCAAGTACAGTAAAACTCTAACTGAAATTATAATCTGTATACTTAATATCTACATCTTTTCTAGCTCAGCATAGATTCTTACATGCAAACACAATCCTTATCACTTTTTCAAATAATTTTCTGAGATTTGCAGATCACTCAAATGTTAAAGGAGATAAAATTAATTGAAGACTGCTATTCCTTGAACAATATTTGACAAAAACAGTTTCCTCTAAGTTCAGAACAAATACCTCCCTTCTTTTTACATTGAGGGCTTTCCCTTGTCCTTAAGTAAGAAGGCAGGATTCAAAATCTCCATTTAAAAACAAACCCCACCTTGTCCTGAGATCCTCCTTCACCAACAAGACAAGGTGTGAAAATGGCAGACAACTCCTGAGGCTCCATGGCTTGGTGTTTGACCAACTGTTGGAAGTGATGGAAAAGAGCATCCCAGATTATCTGGGCTTCCGGTGATAAATGCTGTCTGAAAAGAAAAAAATCCCAAAAATGTTTTTTTATGCATTCCAATTTCTTTTCAATAAAATAAAAAAACAAAGAGCTTTAAAAATTGTGTTGCTAAAAACATAAACATATATCCTCATTAACACCACAAAAACTAATTTAACATCATTTCTTTACTTCATGAGTCTATTTTTTTTCCAACTCTGCAAATAAAGGGATCTTTTAAAAGACTAAAAGACATTTCAAAATTGTCACTTTACAAAATAGTTTCAATTCCTCTCCACCCCATCCACCCCCTTTCCAATCAACTTACAAAGCATAATCAAAACAATCATTTTAAAAAGGTTGATTAAACTATAAACTTTCAATGTCAATCGTCAAATTTTAAAAATCTTGACCAACAAAAACCAACATTTTTTTGTGTTTTTCCACAAAAATTACTACCCTGACAATGTTTTAACACGAAAGGTGTAGGTAGAACTACCTGAGCCTAGATGCAGTGAGCGAGCTGACATTGCCCTGTAGCAAGTTCTCTGGCAGGACACATTTCTCACTTAGGCTGCGCACAATCAAAGTAATCTGCTCTAAGATGACCATACTGATCTGGTTGGCATCGACATGGTTCAGGTCATCTCCGCTGTTTGAGTGCCTGTGTAAAAAACATGTCTCTTAGAAGCAAAATATACATCTAGAGTTGAACCTGCTCCAATGGCCACCTGTATAAGACAATCACCAGTACTAACTGGCACTTTCCATAACCTCCTTTGTGTTGTTTTTACATTAAAATGACACCGTGAAAGACGTCCACCTGTCTATAATGGCCACGTTTTTCCTTTACAACAAGTGGCCATCTTAGACAATGTCAACTGTATATCCTCACCTCTGCACATACACACATATGTACACACAAATTTCAAAGCAAACACACACACTCAACTACTTAAAAATGTACATCCAAACAGATTTTACGTGCACACACACACATACTATGGAAGTTTAAAATATGGGTGGCCATTGTCAAAAAAGAATGTCCAAGCTTCAAACACTGACTTCCTAGTGCCTTGAAGAAACCTACTAATAAAGTAATACAAAACAAAACACAAAATCACCTTTTTAAGTACAAAAGCACACAAAAACAAGCACAACACTCAATCACACCTAAAAACAAACACATTTGGAAGTCTTACACTTTTCAAAAACTAAGAAACAGTGCCAGAAACCATTTCCAATGATGAAAAACATCAATTCAAACACAAAACAAATCTCAGCTCAGTATGACCATAAAGATTTTGTACCTGATGATGTCATTTTTCTTGGCAGTGTCGGGCCAGGAGGAACGATAGTATCCTTCAAGTGAAAAGGCTTCCCGCATATCACTTTCCACCAGATTCAAAAGTCGGATGAGTCCATCTATAGAGAGTTCAGGTTTTATTGGCCTGAAAGTCCAGAAGAAAAGAAAATAATCTCTCTCTCTCTCTCTCTCTCTCTCTCTCTCTCTCTCTCTCTCTCCCTCTCTCTCTCTCTCTCTCTCTTTCTCTCTCTCTCTCCCCCTTTCCACCCCTCCTTCTCTCCTACACCCACACACCCACACATACACACACACTTACACACACACACACACACACACACACACACACACACACACACACACACACACACACATACACACACACACACACACGCACACACACACACAAACTCAAACATACTCATGTGTACACATTGTATTCTTGTACGAGATTATGGATAAACCTTGACAAACTAGTGAGGTTTTACAACCTTTTACAACCTAGCAGAGCTCTTAGACAAGCTAATTTCTTAGAGTTCCAAACCAAAAAACAGTAGCAAAAACCCCTGTGTCTATTATATTTAAGATTAGCAGCTAGGAGCCAGTTAATTTTTCAGGCTTATGGTTAATTATACTGGAGCCCAATCTTGATAAAAAATGGGATCTTTCCAAATAATTGCAAAAGCGGTAAGTGGTGCTTTGCTTTTAAAAAATGCATTTGAAGTCAATTGTAAAGCTTCTTATGTAACGAGAGCTTTCAATGACAAACACTACACAGTACAAAAGCAGGGTGTATGTATTTAGCTAAAGTCACTCATTGTGTACAGCCTTACCCAATGTTTCTCGACTTCTCCTGGTTCTGAGAATTTCCTTTCAACTCAGAGGCCAAGACCTGGGTGTTCCCAAAAGACTGAGCCATGGGAAGATCATTCTCGGTAGCAAAGTCACTGGTCTCCTCATCCTCATCATCATCTTCATCTGTGCCAGGTGCCATGGCATCTTTGAGATCACAACAAATTTCAGTGGACTGTTAACCATGTTGTTAAAGGGTTTTTTCAGAGGCGCCCTGACAAAATGAGTTACTTTTCCAATTTTAGCCTTCATGGACATAGTTTCATCAAATCTATAGGTTGAGCTTTTACAACTGATTAGTATAAAATGCATTGACCCAGGTATCCATTTTCGGCCAATATCTTCATTCACAGACTGTGAAAAGTCACTCATTTTGTCAGCACTCCTCACATTTGTGTATGAGTTCACTGCCTAGGAAGACAAAAAAATAACATGTTCCATACGGGGCTCAACATATTCTCTGCTGGCTTGAGTATAGGTGGAAGAAGGAAGGGATAGAGACAATACACTATTGTTATCTGATCAGACAATCTTCCTTAATCCCTTCATGTTGACCAGCTTTTTTTTAATCAACTTTTTCTGCGCCCAGTTTTTGCTTGCCAGGATGGAGCAGTTTCAGTCATTTTGCAGTCTCCTTCAAAATGGAAGATTTGTGTGATTCATACATCAATGGTATCGCAGATTTAGAATCTTTCATTAGTTTTCAGGTCAAATTACATTCAAAGCCATTGCAGTACAGTAATAAAACCACACATAATGCATGTCATTGATCAACACAATTGCCCAAAACAACTGGTTTTAGGATGTACATTGTATGGGAGGACAACAACTCGACTCATGACGTTGAATGCTCTGTGAGGGAGCTGTCATGAAAGGGTTGAGAGGGGCAGGATACCCTGCTGGTGTAAACAGAATATCTTTATAACCCGCTACCTCTTCTTTAATATCATTGGGGCAAGAAGCTTTTCTACTGTGATAACATGGACCAAATCCCGGAACTATGCAGGTGTCGCCACCTTGTAACTTGAGTTTTAAGTGAAGTCCATTTTTAAATCAGTGAGAAGACAATCTGACTGTGTTTCATGAATGTAGGAATGAGAATCCAAAAGACGACACAAAGTCAGATTAGTTTATCTAGGATGAGGGAAAAAGAAACGGACTTAAGGCAGGACTCAAAGAGAACACAAGACTTCAACTCAGTGAAATAACCACAAGAACAGTCAGTTGTCACACACTGAAATGGTAGTTCAGTCAGAAAACATAGCATCTATGGGTAAGCCTGCAATAAAGCAGACCTATAAACTCAAATGAAAATACTGTTATCTTCTGAAAGCCTCTGCATTTTTTTAGTAACACAATATCCAAAACCCCACACTACTACAAGCAAGTAAAAACTTACGCAGTGAAGATATTCACTTTCAAATAAATAGGCTTCAACTTTATTCTTTACCTAACAATGTTACACTAGTTCCTGAACATCAGAGAGCCAAACAACCTAAATGAAAAATTCAGAATTATAAGGTTTATCTTACTCACTATAACTGCCAGTTTCACATCGCATTTCAAAACGTCCAGAAAGCACTTAATTTCATTCAGTATCAGACCCCTAGATATGAAATGTTTTTTTCTTTAACTCATCTTAAGTTTGGGAATAAATGAGAATAAAAAAGGAAATGGAATTTTCAAGAACAGTGTGTTCATACATTGAGGGGCTTGTACCATCCTGCCCGATGTCTTTGACTGTATTTCCACACTCCTGATTGGTTGGGAAATCTCCTCATCTTGCTCAAGAGATGATTCTTGCAGCTGACCATGAAGTCCATCATTTTCCTTGGTGCTGCGAGCACTGGGAAGATTCTGATAGACCCCAGCACCACTGCTCACACTCTGATTTTGGTTAACCGTCGGGTGCACAGAGCTATTTCCACTTTGACCTCGTTCAGCCTGTCCACCTGAAAAAGAATGAACCGCTGTATCACTATATTCTTTTTTAAACATGAAAAAACAAAACAAATAATACTCACACAGCGACATAATATTCACTTACAATCCTTGTCTCACTTATCTCACCTTCAGCTTAAGTTTGCATTACAGTGATTTTTGCTTGAATACGACAAAGAACAGAAAAAAAACAACGTATACAACTAAATGGAAAAGAAAACTATTCAGAAAAAGGCCAGTGTCATGGGTTTAAAAAAACAACAGAATACTCTTTAGAGTACAAATTTCCTTTCCTATTTTAACATACATAATAAAAGATTCAATTTTTGTCACATCATTATAAAAACAAATACACACTACAAAAACAGATGGAACAACTATCCGCCTGTTCATCGACTTGTTTATATTTAATCTAAATGGCTTGTATTGTATTGTGACATACCTATACTCAATTAAGTAATGAGAGAACTAATCTGAAGTGAAAACTGCATTCTCTTACCCAACCTCTGTACATTCTCCTCAGCTCGTGTCCTTGGCCCAGGATGACTGCTACTACCTGACTGACCAACTTGCTCTTGCCTTTCTTGAATTTCTTGTCGCTGAAATTGCTCTCTGGGTGTCGTAGCTAGCTGTTGTTGTCGTTGAGGAGACCTTGGAGTTATTGGCTTTTGTACTTGTGTAGGCGGTTGCTGTTTGCTTACTCGAGGAGAAGTTGAACTTTGGGGCTGTAACTTTGACTGATAAGTGAAAGAAATATAAAAGAAATAATAGAAGTCATGAGTGAAGCACTAATGACTGAAATTAATATTTGATATAAATGCTTATATAGCCTACTCTTCGACATTTTTAACTTCACACCTCATATTAAGGGCAGCATCTTGGTTAATACTGATCAAATCTGTCTGAAATTTTCAGATAAGACAGTGCATTAATTTTACAACAAGGTAAACATGTTGAATGAAAAAACAAAAGATTGTTTCTAATCTTCAGTTTTAAACTCATATTTGTCAGGGGTTTAAGTGCAAAGTGACAGCTTCATGAACATGTGCGATGACTTCTGGTGTTGATCATAGTTTTGCATCATACATGCATGGACTGAATGAGTCGAGTTATTGTCTATTGAGGGATGTTATTCCACTCTTGAATTATAGCTTGTTCTAACTTAGTGGGATCTGGAGCTGATGTGGTCTAGCACGAATTGCTCGAGCTAAAATGTCTCGTAAGTGCTCAATTGGTGAGATGTGTAAAAATGTCAGTTATTGGATGTTTAGCATTTGAGTTACACATTCTTAAAATTGTGTGAAGTTAACAACGTTAAACAGTTTATTGTAAATATATATATATATATATATATATATATATATCTGACAACATTACAGAAGCGTGTTTGACATGGTACATGAGTCAGCAACCATTTGACAATTTTCTGCTGCCTACATATTTGAATATTGCCACCAAGATAAAGACATATTGACAATTTTTTTTTAAAAAGACTATTATCTATTAATGATGAAAATCATGGCTTCAAAACACAAGCTATCTAAACATATATACAGGTATAAAGGTATTGTACGCACTGTATATGTCCAATCCAAGTTGGTAAAAATCAACAGACATGAAAAAATCAACACACAAAGCTACTTAGTTACACCGACGACACACAATTTTTAAAAAAATTTAGTAGAGGTTTTACTGCACTCGCAACTGCATAAGGTCATATGGGCGCCAAGGGGTGGATGTCAACAGAGAAGTCTTTACACGGAACCAGGCTGACTCTGCTCACCTCTCTAGCTTCAACAGCACAAAGTCTGCTTCGACTATCAAGGCACCCCGGAAATAGCGGGTCACAAGAGAGTGACAAACATACAAAAGAAGTAGAGTAAAAATGACAATAATAAAGATTAGGAAAGAAAAAGCAACAGTTCCTTGCTGTAGATCAGGCACAGTTATGAGCGTGACATTGATGAATCAGCTCATTTACAATTCTACTGTGCATGAATGAGAAATGTCCCCCCTTTGGAAATGGCCTAAAGACACTCCAGTCAGTGGCACTGCCCCTGGGTTTGACACACATTTGATCATTTTTGCTTGCGACAATCTGACAGAGATTTCCTTCACATATGTTATTGTAGGCCTACTGTAAAAACAAACAAAAACTGCTAGCTTTGTCAATGACCTGTGGCTGAGCTTCTGCTCTTGGTGCTTGAGTCCCCGGATTGGGCTGCTGCTGTTGTTGAGGAGATCCGTACATGAGCTCATTCCATTCAGGATATGTCCGTGCCACATAATCCTCATACTGTCTCTGTATAGGAAAATTGTGTACATTTTGATGACTATCTTGCGTATAACATTTGAATTTTACTTGAGTCTGGCATATGAATGACTCATATTATAAACAATGAGAACGCAAAATGTCCTCATAAATCAGGCCTTGGAGCATAAAGTATGTAATTAAAGTAGCCTATAATAAACTATGACATATTATCAATGTAACATTTTCTATATTCACTATTCACTGAGCTCAAACAAATGGTTTTAACCCTTTGAATCCTAAGGTCTCGAACCTGATTGTCCTAGTTCCTCTCAGTTCCTGATTTATGGGCCTGCTTGAACTGTCAGGTTTAATGTAATTATAGAATACCAATGTATCGGGCATTTGGGGCACAGAGACCTGTCTCAGACGAAATATTGGTTTTTAGGGTTCAAAGGGTTAACATAATGACTGGACTTTGACAGATTCAAATCACACATATATCTTTGCAATCAATGCTTTAAAATCTCAAAACACATAATCGTTGACCAAATTCAGATTTCTTTCACATGTAATCACGAGTAGCATGTTCACAAAATACACATTAAAAAAAAGAATACATGATCAGAACCACTGAAAAAAAAGTATACCTTCATCAGAGCTAGCCTTTGTGTTCGTGCATTCATTTCAGCCATATGGGCATCAATTCTCTCAAATTCTCGTATTAACATTTCATTTCGTTGCTTTGCTCTTTTCTCATCATCACAAATCTTTCTCCAGTACGTTTGCAGTCTTGTTGCTTTCATTTTTGCTCTGAAATAAATATGAAATGAAATCAATGTTGTCTAAAGATCAGCTACAACAGAAATGAATTCCAAATTTAAAAATTTCAAAAGTAATATTTAAATTATAGCAATATTCTTATTTATACTGAGAAACAAAAAGTAGTAAATTTATAATAATTTCTGAAAAAATACACCTTTGTCAGAAAAGTCCAAAACTGCATATTGTTTTCATTCTATGAAAATAAATGGTAATGTGCAGCTAATTTGCTAATGAAAGTCAGTTACATAACTCATTAAAGATAAAGTATGTGTCATAACATAGTTACAGGAACAATTTACAAACATTTTTGAAAAACCTGATAAACTGACCCCCCCCCCCCAAAAAAAAAATGATGACTAAATGCAGTCACTCATTATAAACACATTGGCATATTCACACTTACTTGCACAATGCACAGATACAAACACACACACTTATGCACATAAACACATATGCACACACACACACACACACACACACACACACACACACACACACACACACACACACACACACACACACACACACACACACATACATACACATACAAATATATGTGCACATGTGCTTATGTGCATGCTCAAAAGCACAATATACATACAAGCACATACTGTGTATACAAACATGTAAGTTAAAAACTAACTGGTGCACACGCACATACTCATACTTACAATCATGAACAGACTCACACATACACAAGCATTCACAAGTGAAGAATCAAAAGAGTCTAAATCAAAAGATACATACAGATAAAGAGACTATTATGAAAAGATGCAGCAAGATGGGAAAGAACAAAAGAATAGAAAAAAATAGACCCACAAAGGCACAGAGCAGGAGGATACAAAGGACAAATACACAAAAAAACAAACAGACAAATATATTTTCAATTTGTTATTTTCCCTAATTTTCACAATAGTATACTTACGAAGTTTGATCAGCTTGCATAGACAGCCTAAATTCTCTTTCAAGATTGAATCTCTGCTGTTCACTGAAAAAAAAATCAAAGGAAAGCACTCTGACTTAATCGAATTTAGACAACGATTCTCTAGTTTCTTCTTTGAAGGCGAATTTAATGCAGAATAAAGAAAACAAATAAACTCATAACTGCAATTAAACACTAAATGGATATTTTTTCCATCAGATAATGATTGCTCAAGTTCAAATCTGTCAACTTTCTGTCATATAAGAATCAGAAGAATTACAGCGAAAGACAAAGCCTTTTTGTCTTCACTCATATCACATCAAAATTACAGTAGGTCTTAGGACACCAAGCTTAACTTTTCCCAGACATATTGTTGATATTCAGTCACTCCAAGGGAACACATTTTGGACATATCACTGATTTACAGGCAATCTGAACATGGTTGTTTATTTCGTTATTTCTATTCTATTTCTTTTTGTAAAATCAGTGAGCATATAAAATATGAAAGGAAAGCTTCTTGGAACATAATCCTCCAGTTTGGGGATGATTTTGCTCTATTTCATTTACATACTCTTAAACTGATTCACGCAGTGACAAAATAATCATGTCCAAATAGTTCCAACAGCAGAAAAAATGTGTCCTGAATGCGTTTAAGGCAGCCAAAAATGATGAACTACTTTATATGTTACCTCATTAAGTGTGAAGAACAAGAATTCTCACAAGACAGATCCCACTCATAAACAATCTACAAATATTCTTGCATTCTGACTTTTAAAATTTAATTTAAAATCATTCTTTTTTTTGCCTAAAACCAAATAAATAGAGATGTCATGAGTTATGGAAAATATCAAGGTTGGAACTGAGGATAATATCCATCATTTGTATCTTAACTGATTTTGGGAGTTGCATGCTTCAAAAAGTCAAGGAATGACATATTCACAATAAAAAGAATACAGTGCAAAATTCTGTGGTATCAAGGTGAAATCAAACACTTATCAAATTAATGAAATCAAAGAAATCAACATATTTTACAGAATATTTTTAGTGGGCTCTGCACCTTTTAAGCCCAATAAAAAAAGATACTTCTGTGTGGATTTCATTGATAAAGTTGATCAAAAGTACCCCCCAAAAAATTAAATTGCAGTGACCAAGGGCACTCAAGCTTTGGAACCACATTTTTTCCCTAATTTTACTGTTTACACCAGACAACCCCCCCCCTCCTTCAACCCCAAATATCTCAACTTTTATTCAAGATCTATAGATCATTATTTTTCATCAAAAGCAACACAAATGAACAGGCTATAAGATTATGTTGCTAACTCCATATATGCCCAAAAATTGATGAGAGCCTCATTCCAAAACAATCACAGATCACAGGCTTAATGGCTATTCATTCAGCCCACAAGAATTAAAGTTCCAACCGAAAAGAAGATACTAGTGACACCAGAAGTTTCAGGTAAACCCAGCCAATTTAAATATTGAGTTGTTTTTGCACATAGTTGTTTGATAATTTTATTTAGCTATAAGGAGGAGGGGGAGGGGGGTGGATAAAGATTGGTTTTTGTTTATGATTATTTTCTTAAGTAGATTCAATTGATTATATCGTATCAAAGACTCTCTTGTCCGTCAAAGTTGTCGAAATCTCTTCTTCACTCTCAAACTGATCTCAATCTCAACAACTGAAGCGCTGAGCCGCTGAGGTATTATTATTATTCGAAGTGGCTATGCGTACGGCTCCCGTATGCATAGCATCGAGGCTATGTGTACAGCCCTCCACTTCACATAATAATAATAAGCTAGATCTAGGCTTTGTAGGCGGCACATAAGCTATCAAACCAGACACTTCAAGTGAACAAACTTAACCCGGGAAGCACGCAGGCCCTATATAAAGGACGTGAGCTGGACAACAAAAGATTATCTGCAACGATCTTTGGGGCTACCCGGGAAGCGCGCAGGCCCTATATAGGGCTGACCTACTTCGATCGGGAAGTGCGCAGGCCGTATATAAAGGTATAGACGCTGACCTTTTTCAATGGAAAATTTCAACATTCCTATGGAAAACGAATTAATAAATTACAGGTCAAAGTTATAAATAGTGACCAAAGACTTTGCAAGTTACCTTGTAGAGCGTCTCTTGGAATCATACATAACGAGATAGTTCACTCAGCCAAAAAAAAAAAAGTGTATGCAGGGTTCCTGTCATGAACTTCCCACCAAAAGCAAGGAGATTTCAAGGAGGTTTCAAGGAGAAATTTTATAAATTAAAGAAGATTTGATCAAGAAATTCATGACAAAAGCCTATTTCCGATAGGCCAACACTTATCCGAAAGAAATCATAGTTTTTATTTACCAACAAAAACTCTGTTCCAGGGTGACTGCCAACCCGGCTTCTCAATTTTCCAGGGGTCTCATCCATTTTTCAGGGGCATGTTATATAACAGTATCTAATATACACACATACGCACGCGCATGTAGGTACACATTATATCTAGTCAACAACATGTCAGTGTGGCACTGGGGTATTGCGTGACTTAGGTATTTCAGTCTGTTCTTACTTATATTTTTCCCTCATCATACTCACACTATAATATAAAAATGAATCTTGTTTTGAGCCAGAATATCGACTGTCAAGAACCAGTATGGGTGTCAAAGTATACATAATAAACGTGAAAGACAAACTCAAAGTAGAGTAACAACTTGAATGGCTCAAGTCGAACTATTCAGGGAAAGAGATGTAAGAACTGTGGGAGGGAAAGATGCAGTGACACTGAAAATCCGGGAATCTTGAACAGAAAGCTAAAATATAGAAACAATTCATCATACAAAAAGAAATGGGAACCCTTTAGTTTAAAATAAAACATGGCTTACAAGGTTTGAGTATGAGTATCACTGATCCCGATTCCACACAAAGCCTGCTCCAACGCGCGGTTTGCAGAGAGCTCTAGGTCTGAATCTAGTTGTAGTCAAAATTCGGAAAAGTAAAATCTGCTTCCAAGTTCAGTTTTTGTCATCCGGTGTTACTTTCAACCCCATCCCCCTCCCCCGCAAGCATCTTAATTTTTTTAAAATCAGTAATCCCCCCCATTCCCGAGTCCTATACTTTGTAGCGTTCAGACTTTGAATTAACTTTGGTGACCTCACGCCGATACTCACGATGATGCGTACGAACAGGTTCACTGACCGGTCACGATGGCAAGCCCAACAAGACGCTTTTGTATAACTTTCTTTTTTTCCACAAGTGACAGCACAGGACAAATGATTTTTTTCACAGTGACACAGCGTTTGCAATGCACAACCTGCATGTCACAAATGTTGCGTTATCAGACTACTACCAGCAAATTTCTGGGTGGTAACGAAAGCGAAAGTAAATCTTGATTTTCCCGATCGAGCTTCAGTAGGGGGCTTATCACTCATACACTTCCGCTTGCTGCCATAGCCGCCTGGCTCGGGTAACATACTCTCAGGCCGGGAAAAGCCGAATATCACAATCGCGATTGGCAAAAATGAACTCAAGGACGTCATTGGATTCGGTTTTTAAGTATTAGAGAAATTTATATATTTTCCCGAGTCTTTTCCGGGGCAATTTACAGAGACTTCTTCAAATTCCCAGGGGCATTCCAGGGTCTCGGGCGTTTTTTTTCAAATTTCGGGGTAATTTCCGGGGGCCCCGCACCCTGGCAGTCACCTTCTGCCCGAGCTGGCAAAATTCAAGGACTTTTCAAGGAGGTTCCTCAAATTCAAGGAGTTTTCAAGGAGATTTTTCCTTGAATGCAAATTCAAGGAGTTTTCAAGGATTCCTTGAATTCAAGGAGGCCGCAGGAACCCTGTGTACGCAGAAGTCTACGCATTGGTTCAGATGATGCTGCAGTCTGTGTTTTGAAGCTCTCTTTCATTTCTCCAGGAAAAGAATAGGAATAGCACAGTTTGAGTTTGATTTTTTATTATTTTTCATACAAGTAGGGTACCCAACTCTGATCGGTATATCCACACTTTTTCGAACCTGCGATTAAACAGAGAACGACGCAAACGATTTTTAGGTAAGGCGCCCATCTTGTTTGACGTCAGACCAGGATACACCCCTCTGATCACATGACCACATCTAAGTATAGCCAACTGCATGGCACCAAAGATGGAAGTGTCTATGTATATCAAGCCTAATTTACCTCTCGTTGTTGGAAGTTCTGATGGCCGAATGGACAGCGCGTCTGCGTTTGAAGTCTGCAATTATTTTATGAGCGGTTCGATCCCGGTCCTGGAAGTTTTTTTTGTGGGGGTTTTTTCTCTCTTCTCCTCATCCCGACTGACCAACAGTTAGTCCCATAAATTAGAATTTGTTGCTTTGTAGTTTGTTTTTTGTAATGTAAATTAGTGATGAAGAATGCAAGAGGCGGGGTAGATCTATATCTAATCCTCCAGCGTCTTTACTGAAGTTTTCGTGCGGTTTATTGAATTGCCTTTGCATTTACCGTGTTTCAATTTCAAGCATCAGCGTTCTTAATCTTACTGTTCTGAGCATCAACGATCTAGATCCAAGCGCTCTTCCATCATGTCCAAGTAGATCTACTAGTACTAGGCCTAGATCTAGGAATTCCGAAAAGTTTTTACATACCGAAAACACGTCATTCCATGCGGTACCTCCATGGCCTTCTTAAAATAGTCTGTGGGTATCCCAGGAAGTGATGGCATCACATTAATAAAATTAGCAGCTAATCAGAAAGATGCGTCGTTCTATGTTAACGGCATGTCTTTTTCAAATAGGGCACCACTGAATCTTGAGGACACTTTTTCAATTGGCTCAAATAGAGGAGTGACAGTGAGCTTCCCTGTTATACACAATCTTTGTCTTGGCCAAGATATCGATCGATAAAGTGACGATGTCCAGCTGAGCGATTATCAAGGCCGTGAGCATACTTTTAATTAGGCTAGATAGATCGAAATCTATACTTTAGAGGGCCATATGTACTACTGTAGGGAGGGCCGTAGGCCTCACATTATCATTAGCAGACCACTACTAGATTTACTCCGGTAGAAGGGGGGGGTGTAGATGGGGGGGAGGGGGGGTGCAGAGGGGTTCATCCCACTGCTAAAGTTACAAAAATGATTCTAGATCTTGATTAGTAACAAAAAAATGTAAGGAAGTAGATCTAGATTCTAGATCTAGATCTAGTAACAAAAGAACTAGATCTAGATCTACATAAAGAGTACGGTTATCAATCAATAATCAAGTGAGAATAATATTGATAAGTACCATCTCGACATTGTATCCTGCAATTCTTTTTGTTTTTCGTAGTACTGAACATTGGACGACGCCATGTTTAAACAAGTCGATGGTTACTGTCAGGCAGAGTTATTCCCCTTCGTGTGGGAGCACTTGCAGCCACAGAATTCTGTGGCAGCATACTTTCTACTTTTTCCAAGCAAAAAGCAAAAATGAATAACTTAGATAGATCTATATCTAATTCTTTCTAGAATATTTTTTACCGTTCATTTTAATTTCTATTTTTGGAATCATCTCAATTTTGTGGACATAGATCTAGTTAGAGCTTGAATTGAAAGGAGATTAATATTATTATTCTGCACACAAATCGCAAAACATCAGTTTAAGTTTTTAGAAATCCAAGGTCTGCTACTCTTCCTGTTTTTCCCGAAACTGCGAAACAATTGTTTTGATTTTGACTAGATTCTCTAATCCAGAAGAACTCGGTACCAGTGAGACAGCAGGTTGGGAAGTTTGCACTATTTTCCCCCCAATTCAATCTGTGAACGTCTGATCAGTGAACAAGTACCACTTCAAACCTGAACCCATCAACATAGATCTAAAAAATAACGGTGTTACTGTTACAAGTTCTATGTCCCAACCTAAACTTCCTTCTTATTCTTCTTACTGACAGATTCATCTCTGGTGGAGGAATTTCGTAAAGAGTTAAAAGAGCCACCACTTTAAGCCAAGCCTCTCCTTACTCAGTTCAGGTTGTTTCTGATTAATTGCCCTGTCTGTTTTGCTTATAGATCTAGTAGAGCCGTACTCCCTTAAGTGGCTGGCCCGAGTACTTTTTCTGTTGGAAGTGAGTATTCCCACCAAGGCCAAAGTGGGAAGAATTTTTTTTTAATTCCCACCCTGGTCGGGTCACTTCTCATCTTTCCTTTCTATTCTAGATCTAGATTCTATATCTAGATATCTAGATTCTAGTTTTATAAAATGTAATACAGGCTGAAGGCCCGGGAAAGAATCTATTCTAGATCTAGAACCGATTCCCGTGATTATTGCTTGAGAAAAAGAACCGATCCCCTGTTCCGTAAGCTAACGATTCTCAATTACTTTATTTTTATCTTATCTTCTTTTTTTTTTAGAATGTATTTTGAAAAAAAAATGTTGGTGCTTTGCTATGTTCTGAAATCGAGGTTATCCTGAATCTGGAAGACTTAAAAAAAGAGTAATCGGGATGCTAATTCATTGTCAAAGATTAGATCTCTATTCGATCTAGTATACATAGAGTGTCAAAATGTATAATTCGTTGCTTTTGCTTTTTTCTCATTCATCTATTGTTGTTTTTAAATTATATTCACTCTTCTTTCAATTCAAAATTTAAAACTGTAGCGTGTGCCCACAAGGCTCTATATTACAGGCTCTCATTTTTATCAGTGTAGGTCAGTGTTGGTTCTCTGACCTCACACTGTATAGATTGGGCGGGGAAGCGCCTGGGGTCCCCCCCCCCCCAAGTAATCAGAGGGATCGGACTACTCGTTACTCGCTGGAAGTAATTGCGGGTGTCGGACTACTCGCTGGGAGTAATTGCAGGGGTCGACACTAATCTAATTGCATCTCGTCGATACACTGGCAGATCTAAGTAGTCCAGATCTGTATGCCTATAATTTTTATGCTTGGTCAGGAAATATTAAGCGTACATTCAAAAGAGAGTGCTAAGGTTTTAAATAAAGGGGAAAAAATTTTTAGCTTGTGAATGCTTTCCGTCATATCAAATCAATATAATTAGGTACCACAAACGGTGCGCAGATCGCGGCAAGTAGCCTTCTTCCCGAGGAGGAAAACTGTCGTAGTGATCAACTTCACAAACGTAGCTTTTTACTCATGATTGCTTGATTTTAATGTAAAAACCAGTTAGAAGAACTTGTTTTGTTCTAATATGTGTGTTGTTCATGGATAGAATAGATGTGTGGAAGTATGTTCAATATAGCTCTAAAATAAAATTTGGGAAAATGACGCATTTTGCGTCCGACCGGCGCTCGCATCGAAACCTAGCCACAGCCACTCTTTTTCTTTCACAAACTGCTCAGTCGCGATAGTGCGTACAGAAATAACTGCTGCACTGTTATAAAGGTCAAAAGCTGACCTTTACCCCCATACTAGGCAGGCCAGGATTTTGTTGACAAAATGGGTAAAATTTGAAGTGGAAAGACAATGTTGTGAGAAGTTTCGATAAAATCTCAGTATTCCGAACTTTTTTTTAGATGTGCTTTACATGTAAAGTTAGTTCACAATATATTTGTTTTATTCAAGCAAGTACTGTTGAACTAGTTGTTATCGTGGTACTGCTACTGGACTTCAAACTGTGGATGCGTGTGTCGGGGAAACTCGCTTTCTGTTACAATGGCTGAAGAAGCAGCTGTCGAGGCACTCGACACACCGACCGGCAAGCAGGCGGATTACAATGGGAATACGATAACAACTAATCTGCCAACCTATCGTGTGATTTGTTCAATCTCATTGATAAGTAATTCAACGTTTTAGTTGTTGAAGATAGATCATGCTTCAGGTTTTTTAGAGAAAAAAAATTTATTAGTACTTAAGCAACTGGTCATTTCACGGGAGTCAATACACACTGACGGAACAGCCAAATGATCTAGATCTCTATCCATCAGAACAGAAAGTAGTAATGTTGCTTCCGGTTTCGCACATTTTCAACTTTATCTTTTTTTTAAATTTTAGGTTTTTTAACCTCACTGCAACTACTTTTCATAACAAGTTGGCCAAAGGTGTTTTTATTCATAAAAATATGAACCATAAATGTATTATGAACGGATTGGGCCTAGATCTAGACCTGATCCTATAATCTCGTTCTGTCAAAAATCTTGGGCTATAACTACGGCATTGCAGACTACTTCTTTATTTTTTAAATTATGTATAAATATACGTGTTCACCCTCTGTTGCGTTACCGTTAAGCGTCAATGGGTTCTGTTACAATAATCATGAATATGACAGTTCTACTTTGTCCTCCCAACATATACAAAATATGTGAAAATAAATTTAATACGAAACTTAGATATCTAGATCTAGATCTCGAGATTTTTACTTTCACTCTTGCTCTTAGATATCTATACATTACGTTGCTTGCTTTTGAGGGTCAGGCTGTCATATTTTTAGGTGCAGAGCACTAAAACCATTGCAAATAATTGTAACAAAATTTTTTAAAATCAAGTTAAAGTGAATATTGCATGTAGCACTTCAGGTATACCTTGAAAGCTTTTTTTTTAAATAGTGTCTTCCAACGGTAACAACTGGAAATACTGAGACTGATCTCTCAACTGCATCTTTCGTTAAATTCAAAAGATGATCAAATAAAACATCAAGATGTATTATTGGGGCAGATAACTAACTCAGACTCACTCAAATTAGTCAGCTGACACAAATTGATATCAGCTGCCTGCTCTAATGTGGACTCTGCATCATCAGTAGCAATCTCCTCACTTAGTGTCCTTAATATCAAAAGTACTTTACAGTTACATGTACTTTTATTCATTTCTTATTACACAGAACTTATAATGAGCTTTCCAGTGGTATAGATCTATTCACCTCTCTCTGACTTTTTTGGTTGATTTTGTTTTTGTATCTTTGCAAATTCAGCTGATGTTTAGCGGAACGTCATATATTACTTTAAGTTACTTTTTTTGTAACTGTCATTAAGTACTCAAACTAGCTGCTACTACTTTTATCACATCTTGTAATGAGAGCTATCCAGTAGCTTTTTTGTGGTTTCTAATGAAATTTTGAAAAGTCCGATGTTTTGTTGAGCGACGATAATTTTCAGAATTGTTGCCTACCCTTTTGTAACAGCCTTTAGTACCCAGTCATGCCATACAGTTACTACTACTTTTTTCCAGATAGAGCTTTGAATGAGCTTTCCAGTGGTATATTTCACATCTGTCTAGCATAATTAGTTGATTTTTTATGACTTACTAAAAAATGGCCTCAAGCTGCAATTTTGTCATTGGCTTCTTCCCCTAGGCATTTTTGGCCAGCTTACCCCTTGGATACAATTATATCTCTCTTGTATTTAAATTTTAACCCTTTAAAAAAATTGAGTAAAGTCTCAGTATGTATATCTTATGAGATTTGCATTTTGATAGCTATCCAGCCTTAAATGTTTATTTTTTGTATCTTGGAAAATGGGGTACCAAGCCATTGGCATCCATTTTTAAACTTCATTTTTCTGTTTTCTTTCAGTTTTGAACTACCATAATCACTACAATAGCTACATGAATTATATGTTAATTTCTTTTACGCTAAGTTTGTGTGTTTTTCTCTAAGAATATGATATATGTAAAACATTTTTTATTTTCAAGACCGGTTTTCACGTTGTGTGACCTTGAAACAGCGTTGTGAGCCAGTTGCGCACATGTCACGATTTTTACAAGTGCAACAAATATTGAAACATCATATCTCATGTGTTTGTTGATGGATTTTGATAATTCTTTTTTCATAGTTCTTGTTTCACTGAGCACTATGTGGAAAGTATAGTCTTGTTATGGTATTCTTTTAAAAAAAGTTTCACTTGTGGTAATTATTATAATTGAAAGCAAAGAAAAAGGCCAAAAATATGAATCAAAGTAAAACTAATGCGCAAAAAAACACACACACCTAAGTGAAGTAATATTTTTTAATCCCCTCAGGGGGTGGGAATAAGAGAAAATCTTATTCCCAACGGGGGGAGTGGGGGGGGGGGTGAATAATGACAACCTTTTCTGGTGATGTCTAGTTTATCGGTTAAAACTGTTTACTGTACTAGATCTCTACTTCTTCGTCTGTTGTACTCACTCTGACTCTCTCTCTCTTGTTTTTAGTTTTCCTTTTTTTATGGCAGTGCAGACCTAGATATGAAAAAAAATTTCTGGCCTGACGTCAATTTCTTGAGTATATTTCTCTTATCCTTGGCTTGATAGCTGCTTCAAATTTTCCTCCTTCAAATTTTCCTCAAATTTAGCTGATTTCCTTATACCTCTCAGAGTGGCAAACGATCTGAACCGCTGTGGTAGTGAGTCACTGGCAGCAGCTCGGGCACATTCCTTTAGGACCACTTCAACATTAAGTTACTTTTCGGCAAGGTTTCTTTTACTAGAAGTTCATTCATTGGATGAAGAACTACCAAAATTTAATAGGTTCACTTGATTTGATTTAACTCTTTATGATCTCCCACTATGACGGGGCCCTTTTTTGGTATTAAATCTAAAAATGACGAAAACGTCACTAAATGGATCATTAAATCGAAACTAGCGAACCTAGTATGATAGTACTTCATCTAATGAATAAACTTCCAGTAAAAGAAACCTGTGTTCGGCAATTGCTGAAAAGTAATTTGATGTCAAAGTCGTCGTAAAGGAATGGCCTGAGCCGCGGCTCACCGGCACAGCAGTTCTGGGAGCGGCTTGCCGAGGATAAAGAGTAAATAACCAATTTAGTGACACATGTCACATTTAAATTTCTTACTAAAAGAGGGCCCTGGCATAGTGGGTTTAGCGCCCCCCCCCCCCCCCCCCCCCCCCGGAGATGAAGAGTTAAAAACTTGTAACTTAATAGACTACTAGTTTTGTTATAGCAATGTGAACAATAAGTTGCATTGCAGTGTAGGGTGCAGTATACGGCAATGCTTTGTTTCCAGAGATCAGCTCACAATTTATTGCGTAGTTCTATATCTATCAATACTATCGTTGTTTGTAGTTGGGGGGAGGGGGGGTATAATATAAGTGTGACGTGTATGACCTACGTCCCAGCTGATGTTCCACACCTGGAATGCTTGTGCCTATCCCCGTAGACACACACAATAACAACCACACACGCATTCGACCTCTCCTAATCCTGGCACGCACTAAGAGGTCATGTCTTACGCATGTGTCAACAACGCATGTGTCAACAACGCATGTGTCGACAATGCATGTACTGGTGTGAAAGAAGAAGGTTTCTGATTTGTTCATAAGGTAGATGTGCACAATAGGTAAAGCGTGTGGAGGTCCTCAGTGTGGGTGCGATTGATGGTCCCTTGGAACTGAGCAGATTAGCTTTTGTTGTGGGAGAAAAATGCATGAAGCCACATCAGCAGAGGCTGTTTGCCTGGCAATTGGCTTAGTTGAATTTGAGTTAACTGGCTCATGTGTTTGTTGGATCTTAGTTATTTTGTTGATTTTAATCAATTAAAAAATGGGGAATCTGTCTCCTTTCATTTAATTTTGAATCCGAGTTTCACTGTAATGTAAACTTCAGTGACATCTGTTTGGGATGAAAGGTCCCCTCCCTGGTGTTTTTCATATAGGATTCATTTTATAACTTTATAACAAATGGAACACCTGTAAAAATTACTACCTTGGACCTGCCACATGATAAGCTATGCTGTTTTTCATTTCTTGTGGAAAATGTATAAAAAGTAAATTGAGCGTCTTTCAAGAGATCAACTACAAATCAAATAAAATGAAGGAACAGAGATGTTACTAGTCAGATGACTCAGTGATTATACTTTGGTAGTGAGTGGGAAGTGAAAAGATTTCCAGATAAAAACTGTATTTGCTATAATTTGTTTCTTTAATTGCAGATTGCAGGTATCGCACCAAGCTTCAAAAGATGGTTACAACAGGATTTGATTTACTTCAGTCCTTTGACCCCAGAATTCAGCCATATCTTGAATGCTTGCTTCAGGACAACAGCAAAATAACGCTCACTGGAGATTTCCTGGAAATAACCAACCCGTTTTCTGGGTAACTTTTAAATAATTGTATTCCACTGTACAATTTAGTTATTGCTTTTTTAATGTTATTTCACTTTCTTTCCATCTTCTACATTCAAATAATAATTGCTTAATTTTTAAAGCCTGTTGTAATGGCTGTTGTATACAGTTTTACCCAAGCAAGGTTAATCCAGCAACAGCTGAAACTGAAAGAAAATAGAAACCCTGGGGGGTTTTGAGGAGGGGGGGTTGTTTGTTTTTTTATTCTTCGTCTTTATAAGAGAACTATCAATAAGTCTAAATGCTTCCATTTCTTTGAAAGTGGAATTTTTTAATAAGAGTTATGTCATCTGAATCTTCACTAGCAAACCTCTAGCAATGCAAATCATTAAGTCATGCACACTTCAAGAAGAAAAAGACACGAGAATGTACGGTGTCGATGTGGGCCAGAGAGAGGCACTGCCAATGTACTGTTTTCCGACAAGTATCACACACATCATAAAACCTACACACTGCTGCAAATAATCCAGGTGATAGTGAATGTAGTCTGTCGTGCCACCTTAGGTTGTATTACCTGTATTACCTGTCCTGGGCAACAACGTCATTGCACATCGGACAGGTCCATAAGTGCTCATTTCCCCCAGCACCAAAGCCCGCAAGGTATCCATACTGATTATTTCGGTGGCTGTCTGATTATGGCGACGTCTTTCCTTTCCAGATAATCGTTCCTTTCTTCGAAAGTCCTTAGGTTGACGTTGGACTAGTGTCTCTGCTGAAGCTCGTTAACACAGCCTCAACACATAACAGCTTGTGGTGTGTTTCACATCATTAGCAATGGGCTTTCTTTGTCTTTTCTCAACATCTAGGCTTATAACTCTTTTGTCTACTCTGTGTGACTGTTCGGAACATTGAGTAAACTGACAATGTTAAAAAGAAAGCGCAATGTATACAGCCTGCTGCTAAAATTTTAATTACTGAAAGATATAGATGACAAAATCTTTCAAAACGTGAAATTTTTGGCAGACATGGCTTTCTCAACTCCACGCTGTCAACAATCATCGTCCGCAGTGTTTGATTTGTGGGGATCCTCTGTATCTTGTCATTATGTTAGTGTTTTAGCGCCTATAAATGGCTGCTTGCACTATATGCTTCCCAGGAAGTTGAATTTGTTTCAAAATGCTCTCAGGTCTGCCGGGGTAATAGTATAGATTGTGAAGCGCATAGAGCTTGCTGTTGAGGTGGGATTTGCGCTATACAAATGCTATCTATTATTATTATTACGAGAATGATTGCTGCTCTTACATGGAGCCTCAAAATCTGTAGTTGTGGTCATAAACCATACTTTTTTTAAAAGATCTTTTCTTAGTATGTGCTGTACTATTATGGAAACTTTACTTAATTAACAAATAAGTATTTGATGTGTTGTGATGTGGGCCAATGGCCTTAAACACTGAATAAACTTACTTGCTATCTATTATTATTATTACGAGAATGATTGCTGCTCTTACATGGAGCCTCAAAATCTGTAGTTATGGTCATGAACCATACTTTTTTTTAAAGATCCTTCCTTAGTATGTGCTGTACTATTATAGAAACTTTACTTAATTAACAAATAAGTATTTGATGTGTTGTGATGTGGGCCAATGGCCTTAAACACTGAATAAACTTAATTGCTTCTTAGTATGTGAATAAATAGATAGTCTAGTGAAGATTTGCAGGATAATTAACAACTTTCGATTTTTGGTCTTTTCATCTAAAGGGTTCTGACGTCAGTCAGAAAAAATGAGACAAAATATGACAGGTTCAAGCTCCGGATCCCATATGCTAATCAGGTTCTGACATGTGAGTAACTCTTATTGATGCACGGATTGATAAATCCTAAAAGCTTTCTCTTTGTAAGAAAATTTAATATTTTGACGATTTATATTATGGTTTTTAAGGATTGCAACGGTTGTTTTCTTGCATTTTTGCCTGTGTACGTCAGTTAATGAAATAAAAAGTTTACAAATGCTTTTGGTAGGACTTACTTTATTGTCTTTTTTGAGTCTGTATTTTAACACTTAGATGTCACTTAAAACTTTGCCATCATGTTTTGGCGAAAATCGAAAGAAATTGGGTGGTAAACATCGCCAATCGGCGAAATGAGGCAGCAAAGTGTTAACCAGCAGTACAAAATACCCCATCTGGTCACCCAGCCAGGAGAGTGACTGCATCGAACTTTTCGGGCCTGGCACAGAACGCGGAATGGATCATTTTCACCATCGCATTATTGCGCCAAATGACCACAAAGTGTTAAGAATATCGTGCTTTGAATATATATCTGATTGAATAACTTAGTTATTTTAATCATACAGTGTTTTGACTCGTGTGTGAGTTGTTTTCAGCAATATTCAAGAATCAGTCTTTGATCAGGTTACTTTATTTTTCCACAGGGGAAATAATATTTGATGTAACAAATGTGAAAGAGCCACCTGACATCATATTTGATGCTGATGATGACAATTTTCATCCCCCAATGGAGCGTATAAATGTAAGCATTTGATTTGGTTGAAGTTTCTGTACTTTGACTTAATACTTCAGATGACTAAAATGTTTATGACTTGTCCTTGTGATTGAAACAAATGTAAAAGATGTTAACACTGAGTACTATGGCCGAGCAAGATCTGCTTGACAGGATGGGTTTCCTGGGAGTAATAATAGTTGGGGGTTTTTGTTTTGTTCTTTAGGTTTATATTAATTCGGGGCTTATTTAAGACATTTGACAGGTCTGTGTTCTTTTTAGGTTATATTCAGAGCCTCATTTAAGGATATTGGATTTCCCAGTATGGTCTTTTGTAATCTGTTTCATGTTCATCTGTTTGACAGAGCCTTGTGTGCTGGGACTGGAGAAACAAGGAAAGTCTTGCTGCTCTTATATCAGAACTGTTGGAACTGTACAAGGAATACCAGCTTGAAAGAGTGGGCCAAAACAAAACACTTCAGAGGCATTTTACTTCTCTGATGTCACAAAATGTAGAGGCAATGCAGATAATTGTCAACAGAGCAGAGGTATTATTCTTCTCTGTGGATAATGTTGTAAAGCATTATATAGTAGCTATGACTGCCTCCTTGTTATGGTTTTGATCATCTCAGATACTTTAAAGTTATTTTTTAAAGTTCGATATTTTCAATTATTTAATTTGCCGCGTAGATTTGTATCCTGAGAATGAAAATGAATTAAATAAATGAGTTTTATTATAAGATGTGGGATTGAGGGTTTTATTTTTTGTTTTTTTTTATTTTTATAAAGAGTTAAAGGTCATTTGCAGGAACTGAATGAGTCATAATGATTAGTTAAGTGTATTTTGCTGCTTATCTTAACAGTATTTTGGCTTTATATTAGTTATTGCTATTTGTAGAGTTTTTGTTGTTCTTGTTTTTAAAAAATTATTATTTACCTTTAGACAGATGCTTTTTTTGGTCAAGTATATATTTAACGATGTAAGTTTGTAATAAGGTGTTACATTTCTGAGTTGTGTACTCTATTAATGTTGCTGTTTTCCTCATTGTGTTTGCAGAGGGGTCTAGGCACTGTAAATGTGGTAGCCAAACTCGATGTTGACTTCTCAGAACTACCTCCTTATCTCATTCAGGTAAGTGGCACATGTAAAATGAAGTTGATCTTTTCTACTTTTGGGCTTAGTTGAGGGGACAGTGAGGAGGTGGAAGGAGAGATTGACACTATCTAGTAGTATCTAGTCTTTCTCTTGTTGTAGTAACGAGGTCGGCGGGCCTGATCTAAAATCTCGTTGAATGCGAGTGTTCGTTATAGCAAACAAGACGGTTTTTTTGTAGATAATTACAGGCACTGAAATATAATGTATAAAGGGAAGTGACAAATGGTGCCTGAAATACCTGCTTATTATTGGCTGTACAAAAAGGACCGGTTCGTTCAAATGCACACATGTGTCATCTTGATTGTTTGCTGAAAAGTTATGTTGCTGTGTAGAGCCTAGCATACGAATACTTTTGATTCCATAGACCAGCACACAATTCATCAAGTAGATCTACGTCAAGACTAGCTTATCTTTGTAATAATGATCAGTTGGGGGGGACTGACGCATTTGTATCTGGGACGTTCCACCCCCGGACTGCTGGTGCCCCCCCCCCCCCCCCCCCCCCCCGACACACGCTCACACAGTCATACGTGTGCAGGCCGCTCATGCGACCCCGACACACGTTAGAGTAGACACGTGCACATTCTAACAACACGTGTGTTGGTATGAAAGAAGGCCGCTGATTGGTCGCATGCAGTTGGCTAAGCGAATAATGGTTAACGATGCAGGTGCAATGGATAGTTTCCAGGAATAGATAAAGTTTGTTATTGGAGAAAAATGAGCGAAGCCACGTCTTCGGGGGGCTGTTTACCCTGGAAGTGACCTTGTGGAATCTGGGCTTGTTGATTTAACTGTTCGTTGAATCTAGGTTATTTTTATTGATTTTAAAGAAGAAGAAAACGGGAATCCAACTCCTCGTTGAATCCGAGTTCCACTGTACCTATTTGCTTGTTTGCAGTGTCACAGTGTTATTGGGGGGGGGGGTGTTTGATGTGTTTAATATAAGATAAGATACATCTTTATTGTCCAGATCCTGGCACATTGGTTTGGTGTTTCCCCACGTGTACACACACACACACACACGCACACACTCACACACACACACACACATACGTTGGCTTACTATCACATGCATAATATAAATGAGCAGCAATATAAACAATAATAATCTTAAGCTAGATACACACTCAATGTTATTTTGATGCTTGCTCTAAGTTCGTAAGTATACTTGTACAAGATGGTTATGATGGAAGCATTTTGATAGATGATGGTAAAAATGACCTTCTATTATCTTTCTTTGTTACAGATCAGAAGCCTCGGTCTTTTACCTCTGACTGATGTTTTTATTTGAGGGAACAAGGGATGTTTGTTGTCTAAAAAGAGGGAATAAATTGTTTTAGTGCAAGCTGTTATTTACAAATCATCCGAGTAGAGGAATGTAGATATTTGAAACTATCCAGCATTACTACCTGGTTAAGTCTTGTGGGGTTCTGGTTATTGTACTTACAATAACGTTTCCTACTCAATTTGCAAACTTTCAAATCTGGATGTTTTTTGTTCAGTCATATGTGGGGACTGAATCAGTTTTCTATTGTATAACAGTTTCCTTTCATTGACTATTTCTGACTTTTTCCTCATTCATAACGAACATGTGTTGCATGTGTGTCACGTTTGCCAGATTTAACATGGAAGAACTTTACATCTTGCTTGAGGAGAATAAAAATTATTTGAAACTTCTTCAGAAGATTTCTGTCAGTGTGTTTCTTTTGTTTAATTATGAATAGAAGTATGAGCTATTTTATACATTTGGTAAGATCCATACAGTAATTTTTTTACTTCTGTTTCTATCATGTAGGAAAACCCAGGTGTGGATATGGCTGCCCTGCATGTATGTTTCCCATACCCTGAGAGCACCAATATTCAGTCACAGCTGTATCTTTCACCTGCCGTTGAAAAGTCAGTAACATCATAAAGTGTTTGCTGTTAAGAATCTTATAATTGCTAATATTGAAGAATTAATGAGATACTTTAAAAATGTTAGTACTGATAATGACAATATCTAATCTTTAAATCATCATCTGAAATGCAAAATTGTAATGCTGAATCACTCTTTAATGCGGGCTTGTTTCTTTTTCATAAGAACCCCATTATTTTTATTTTTTTTGCTCCTTTCATAAACTCTGGCAAGCACAGCCCAAGTAAGGTTTTCAGAAGAAAACAGTGAATTTCCTGAAATGAAAGAAGTACTATTGAAACAGCTTAAAAAGTAACGTCGGCAAAGAACTTTTGCATTAAGAGGCAAATGCTATTCCTGGATATGTACCTTTAATTGCCATCTCTAAAAAATATGAGTATTTTTTTCCAGTGCTTTTGGAGGATCTGGTAGTCTCCGCATACCTGTGTTTCAACCAGGAATTCTTCTAGGGGAATACTTTCTCAATATGAAACAGCTTTTGAAGAAACAGGTAAGTTGATACTGTTACACTTCTTCCGAGTAGTACATTTAAATGCTTTGAAATGTCTGGTTCATTTCTCATCACTTATATCGCTGTTAGGTTGTTTTTTAAGTTTCAGTGGTGTCCACCTAACAGCAAACACCTGTGGGAAGCAAGCCGTGGCTGCACACACGCTGAAATTATAGCCAGTCTGTCTCTTGTTCTTTTTTCACTCATAAGTTGTAACACTATAAATCACGTTTTCACTGTGCCTCAGACCGCATGCATCATTCGCAAATAAGTATTTGGATACTAGAGATCATGTGTCACTTTTCATTGATCATTTCTTAATCAATTATCATGTTTTTTATTATTTATGAAGTTAACACAGGGACTGTGTGTTTAATGTTAACCCAATTTTAAAAATCTTTTTCACTTGTCATCTTTTTATGTCAGATTAAAGTCATCTCAGAGGGCTTGGAAAAGAGGAAAGACTACATTGCAGCTTTCCTTGCTCATTTCGGAAGGTAAAAGATTTTTGAAGCGTTCAATCTGTGTTTTTATATTGCCATGGAAAGAAACAGGCATGGGAAAATTGTGATGATTAGGATGAAGTATAAAAATCATCATTTTGACAAACACATATCTGCTGGTAGGTTAGGGTGTTTTTTATGGTTGTTGTTTTTTATTTTAAATTGACTGCTTATGATTCTTGCTGACATGTAAGCTATTTTCCCAAGCTGATCAATGTATACTATTTTACTTACATTACAGTGAAACTCGCATCCTATAAAGTTGTTTGGCCCCCCCGGGGCAGTGCCACTGACTGTAGTGTCTTTAGGCCATTCCCAAAGGGGGGACATTTCTCGTTCAAGCATAGTAGAATTGTAAATGGGCTGACTCATATCACGCTCATAACAATGCCTGATCTACAACAGGGAACTGCTGCTTTTTCTTTCCTGGTCCTTACTATTGTCATTTTCCTATACTTCTTTTGTATGTTTGTCACTCTCTTTTGACCTGCTATTTCCGGGGTGCCTTGATAGTCGAAGCAGACCTTGTGCTGTTGAAGCTAGAGAGGTGAGCAGTCTAAGTCTGATTCCCAGTAAAGACTTCTCTGTTGACACCCACCCCTTGGCGCTCATATGACCTTATGCAGCTGCGAGCGCTGTAAAACCCTCTCCTATAAAAAACACATTTTTTAAAATATAAAGTTGTTTGTCCCATTTTCAATTTTGTTGAACTTGAATGTTCATTGAAAGGAAAGTGGGACTAGGATGGGCGCTATTTACTGATAGCAACCAGAACATTTGTTCTGATTATATCACAGTGCAAGAATAGATGGAAAGAACCAATGGTGTCCTGACTTGCTTGTTTATGTAAGCTCTTGCTTCTGTTGGCAGAACCCCTGACCTATAAGGCCGGGCTTGGGCAAGATTCACTTTTTGGTTGTTGTTTTTTTTCAAAATACTTTATCAACATCTTCTACTTCAAGTAGAGTCTTAAGTTGTCTCATTAGTACACGTTTTCCTTGGTTCATGGCTGCTGTTGTCTTATCCTTGTCTTTAAAAAAAGTTGACAGAGAGCTTGGTGCACTATTGATCAGAACAAAACACATTTTGTTCATTCTTTTCCTTTTTCAACTTCCTCAATACAGAGCAGTTTGGTCTTAAACGAGGGTAATTTTTTTCTCTTTGTTTCCATAACACAGATGTCTAAGACAAAGGCCAAAATAACGTTGAAAACTGAACTATCTGCAGTGCTATTGTATACAATGAACCTGGAAAGCACACTTCAGTCAAATGCGTGCCTGTGTCATATGAAGCACTGTTTGTCCGACAATATGTTTTATACTCAGTAGAGCCTACAGCTAGGGCCAGCTTTGACTAAGCCTACCAAATGTTTGATCCCACAGACCTGTGCACAACTCATTCCATAGATATGAGTCTATAACTGTTTAAAATGGGGAGGGGGGTATGACATTGTCACGAATCAGTAAGACCTCTCCAGATCTCGCATACACTCAACCCATGTTTTAGTATGAAAAAAAGCCTCTTATTGGTTGTATAAGTCAAAAGACCTCTGTGCCTCTGAGCTTGTTCATTTAATTGTTCTGTGGACACAGGGTGTTTTATTGATTTTAATGAATAAAAGAAATGGAGAATCCTTTCCTTTCGTTAAATCTGAGGGTGTGGTGAGTCCCAATTCTACTGTACAATAGAGCTGTGCCCATTCGACTTTACTATTCGACATTCATGATTTTTGCACTATTCACAGCTATTCGAAGTGTGGCAGAGCCATTCGAATGCTGTGTGATTTTTTTTTCGAACAGATAATGGATTTTTGTCTCATTTTTCTTCAAATTAGAAAAATTGGAACAAATTATATCTAAAATCATTAAGATAAATGTGCAGAAATACTCTTTATTTGATGGTTACGAGACAGTGTGATAAAAGGAGCCTACAAGAATTATAAAACAATTTTTTAGAGAATATCTCTTACCGTTCAATATTCACTCGCCACACTATGGACAGCTCAAGCAAGGGCACATGACTCTTGAAGCGCAGCGAATGTTTTTTCCATGAAGTTAGCTGTTGCAATGAGCTCCCCTGACCCTACTCGAAATTCGAAGCGCTATGAACGGTGACGTGATGTCAACACATAGCACTGTCTGCGACGACAACACGCGCGCGCTCCATGACTGGCGGACTATCGAATTGCGGAAGTTAGATCTGGGCTTATCTTATATAAGAAAAAACCATTCAACGACGCTGTGAATACCGGAAGTAAGATCTGAGCTTATCACATATAAGAAAATAAGATTCGACGGCGCTTCGAATTGCGGAAGTTAGATCTGGGCTTATCTTATGTAAGAAAAAACCATTCGACGGCGCTTCAAATTGCGGAAGTTAGATCTGGGCTTATCTTATATAAGAAAAAAACATTCGATGGTGCTGTGAATAGCTAGGGAATGTAGAATAGAGGAACTTAGGTCTGGGTTCATGCTTATCATATATAAGAAAAAAACTTTTGACGGAGGTATTCGAATGTCATGAATAGTGAGCTCACTCTTCGAAGCTTCGATGATTTTTTGTTTCCTCAAAATCGCACAGCTCTACTGTACAATGTATGGGTCATTTGATTCATTTTCTTTTTCTTCTGTGTGGCAGCCCGGTGGAATCAGGCGCTCGTCGATTTTAGGCATATGGAGTTGTTAATTGTATAATCTTAAAGCCTGTATGGTTGCCTTGCTTTTGAGGAATCAAATAACTATCTAACTTGAATAGAAGTCAAGAGAAGGAGGAGGGAGTTGTCTGGTATCAGAGGTAAAATTTGTGAGAAAATGGTCGCCAAAATTTGGTGACTTACGGATTGGTAGTGCCCTTGGAAACTACAAATTTACATTTTCTGTGCCTTTTATGAATGCTTTTCAATAAAGTCCATGCAAGAATGTGTTTTAAAGTGGACTTAAAATGCTTTGAGCCAAAAACAAAACACAAAATGTTTTAATCGCCAAACGGGTAAAAAAGAATGTTGATTTCTTTAATTTCATTACTTTAACGAACGCCTGATTTCACTAAGATGCCTCACATTTTCTATTTCATTTCACAGGTCAGTGTTGGAATATGATGCACAGCACTTTTCAAAGATTGTTTTGTTACTAGAATGGAATGATTTTTTCTTTACTTTCACGGGTAAGTGTTACTTGCAGAAACGAATTATCCAAAGCTACATAGCAAGTATAGAGTCTTTGATTTTTCTAATAGGCAAACAGAATGGTAGTGAGTATTGTATTTGTATTGTGTTAATGTGCCTTATCAATACATGAGTTAAATCACATCACCCAGTGAATTTTTTTTTGGTCAGAACCACTCCTCTGACAAGATATTTGCACTTGCTACTTTTCGGAAGATAATTGGTTAATCTCACATGCGTGTTGTGTTAAATCGTCTGCTCTATCCTTTGCTTTTGGAGGAAGAATCTGCTGAAGTTCTGTATTGAAAAGGACTTAAAACTAGTAGAAGAATAAAGTAAAGTTTCAGATGCATCTGTGTCTTTTCTTATTTTTAGGAATTTTAAAGCGCAACTATTTTACGCTGTGTTTTATTTCAATATTTCAAATGAAATAGATGTTCTTCTTAAATGTCATGAATTAAAACAAAGACAAGCTTGTACCTCACCGTTTCTATTCCAGTTCAGTAATGCTTACTTAGTTCATCAGCCTCTATCAGCCTCTATCAAAGATTTTGTTTGTGTTTCAGCTGAACTGCCTCTGTACTTTCCGGTGGAGCATCCTACCTTTATCCTGAAGTCTGTGTACCACTATCAAAACCGTCAACCGTACTTTGAACGATACACTGATTTCCCATACAGTCCACGCTGGAGTGGCATGGAAATGGCAAGAAGAGCCAGGTCTGCTGCCATTTGTTTTTAACTTTTTTGCGTAGGGTTAATTGTCTTCGATCTGGTTGAAGTCATGTTGTTATATTTTTTGTACATCAGCGAATATACGAAGCTCCTGTTTTTTTCAGTTTGAGTGGGTAAGGAGATGAGAATATGAGTAATTTTCATTTATAGAAAAAGTGATACTTTTTTACAAGTTGTAAGTCATATTTAATTAGATTTGCTGACTGGGCTGTACAGAAGCATTTAGGATTTACACTTCCTTCCTATTTAGTAGAAATTTAAAAAGTTTGTATTGTGACATTTACAGCTGATTTTCTCAGTTTTAAAGGTTCTTTATGGGATTGAAAGAGTTGATTCATCTCAGAAATTAGGAATGCTAAAGTCTGTGAGTTCTGCTTGTGTGGGCTTATTCACGGCGCACCGGCAGTGGAATTTTAGTTGCCGCGGGGGGTTCCCCGGCGGGCGCCTTATCACGTCGGGGTCACGGGGGTCAGCTCCCTGTCGCCGCTCTGTCTGGGCCGACTTAATTTTTGGTACTTTTCAACGTACAATTTAAGGTGCATCCTTGTGTTTATGGTAATTCTCATTTAGTGCACCCAAAGCACGCATTTCTGCTCTTGAGACTCAAAAAAGAACGGACGTTGTAACTTGTCTGGTTATTTCGTTAGAAGCGCTGGAGTCGGCAATGCTAAATTGTAATTTTTTTGGGACTAGCGTGAATGAAAAAAAATCGATTAAAAAAAAACGCATCGTCAAAATCTGTCGAACTTTTGGAATATGGACGACATAACATTAGTGCAGATACTCAGAAAAGATGGTATCTGCGCTTATAATAGAAGGCTGTAATTTTGCAATTTTATCCATCGGGCACACAATTCGCTACGAAGTATTTCCTCCAAATACAACTTTATGTGTCTAATATAATCATGAATATTCGCATATTTTCTCGAAAGTTTATAAAAGTTATCATGAAGTTTCTCAATGAAAAGTACAAATCGATTTTAGTGCTAGAGTATATCTTCAACGTAGATCTAATACACGAACAGTATCTGATACACTCCAGAAATTGCTTACTTTTCTTAAAACGCTAAGTCTAGGTTTTGTAAGTTGACTGAATAATAGGGATGACTTCTCGTAATTGGGTTATAAGAATAATTTTTAGCTTTCCAGGGACACTGAATCAGCACCAGACTTTTCCAGCTTTTTTTACGTTTCTATGACCATTTGCAATAACTGACAATGTGACTGATTTCTTTACATGCATAATTGTGTCCGCGCATATTTCCTACACAAAAACTAAGAATGAATGTTTTAGCTGTCGTTATTTTTATTCCAAACTAGAAGTTTATCTCTACCCATGTATTTACACGGTTTTGTGGTTTTTTAAATCGCTTATATTATATCTTTTTAGTTGTATGCAGGCTGCCACAGACACAGCATGATTCATGAACAAACGCAGAGTAACTTTCTCTTGTTTAATAGTAAAATAAGAGCTAACGCTGATCGTCTTTAGTTAAAATATGCAGATGTGCATCTTTCTTCTCTTAGAACTTGACTATTACTACTACCGCAGATTTAAGGTTTGTCATGATAAAAGACATGATATTCGTAGTCAGTTTAACACAGAATTTGGAGAGATCTGTCGTGCCTTTTTTAAAATAACAATCATTTATTCATAACTTTGTAACTAAAATAGGACAAATTGGGTACTCTACAAACACTTGTCTAGAACAAAAACTATGGCACAGAAACCAACCATTCTAACGCAGAACAAATCTCAAGACATTGAGCTTTTAGTACATTCGCGTAATGGTTTGCTGTGTGGGATGGGGAAGAAGTTATATCGTTTTAAACATAGTCAAAAATGCGAACTTCCCGACCGACACCGGCAAAGTCGCCTCAGGGCTCATTAACCCCGTGACCCCGAGCCGGGGAGCTCCGGCGGGCTGCTGAGTCACGCGAACTAAAAGTAACAGAATCGGGCGAAAAGTGACGCCGTGTATTTAATATATTAGGACAAGAAAGATCCCTCCCCCCCCCCCATGATTCTGGAAGAAAATGAAAACTTTAAGTCAGTAGGCAAATATATACCCTCACATAGTATACTTTGCACAGATTTTTAAAATGATAAAGGATCTTTTTGATTTTCCTGTCATTAATTTAATTTTCATTTGCTTCTTCTTCTTCCTCCTCATTTTTCATTTGATGGTGCTAGACAATTTCACAAATTCAGCAGTCCTTGAAAGTGATTCCGTGTTGTTTTGAGCTTGTCTAGACCTGCATGTTTGCCGACAATCGTCTGAAATCGGACAATCGCGACTCGACCCGCGAACTGGCCGATGCTATCGCTAGGCCCGCCTGTATGGCCGACTGCCAGCGACCCCTTTTTCTCCCGTCGGCTTCGTCGGCACTTTCTTTTTCGTGCCGACCGCCGACGTGCGCACCGCCGACGTGCGCACCGCCGACTTCCGACGTCTGCGTTTCCGACATAATTGTCGGAACCTAAGTAGAAATGCGAGTACGAAAAAGGACTCTCTTGTTCTAATAGAATCTAGATCAAGATCTAGATTTATATAGATCATTATAGACCTCAATGGAGGATTCATATTCCAATTCTATGGTGTCAAACCCTATCATAGGTTGTGGTGTAATAATATTAATATTGGTAAAAATAAGCATTTCATCAGGTGCGTGAATTATTTATTTATCTAGATCTAGATCTAGAATCTAGACTCAGCTGAGTCCCTCTGTTCGGAATCGGATGCGGATTTCTAGTTCAAGGCCTATTCCTATTCACTTGTTCTACAAGATGTAGGTCTAGATCTAGATTTATTTAGATTACTAGATCTATATTGAGTATTCATATTCCAATTCTATTGTGTTATTGTATCAAACCCAAAAGCAATGTAGATGTAAACCATATAGATCTAGATCTAGATCTATATGCTCCTTGTTTGTTTTGGAGTGTGGTTTTTTAATTTTAATTTTTGTTTTTCATTTAGGACTTGTTTTGGCCTTTTTACATGAGGCCCGTTGCAGGTTCTTTTTGGGGGTAGGGTTAGGTCTCTTCTTTATTGTGTTTGGGCGAAAACATAGAGAACGCCGATTTCGGAGACTGACTCAGTAAGCGCCGATAGGCATAAAAATTCTCTTATGATTTCCAACTTGCCCCACATAGAGCTGGCCGACTGCAGGCAGCTTTAAACTCGGATCGGAGTTGTCGGCTTTATCGGAATCCAAACTACATTCTTATTACGCCGAAAAACTGGGAAGGGCGTCTCGCTGTCAACTCACCACCGCAGTGCTTTCTTGTCATATTTCCATTTTTTAACAGTGAAAATGAGACTTCTTCTTTAACTCACATTTTGTTATGAACTGTTTTCACTGTTATTAAAAATGGAGGTACGACAAGAAAGCACCGAGGTCGCAAACTCCCAATGCCGTCTCGCTGTCTCGCCGTCGCCAACTCGGGTTCAGCGGTTTGTGTGATGTCACCCGACTGGACTGGGGACAATTTTTAATGGTCATTTCAGAGCTGGTGCTTCACGGTAGACAAAAACTAATTACATTTTTGAAATCAGCATCGTCAAAATAGGGTGGTCACCGAGCAGAATTGCATTTTAAGCAATATTTAAGAAAATTCGTGTTTTTTCCCCCAAAAATATTATGCTTCATGAATACCAGCTGTGTTGTAGTGTAATTAATTTAAATTTTTTTCTAGATCTAGATATCTCGGCTTTACTGTGTCAATAGAGTGTGATTTTGAAGAGACGAGGCCTGTGTAGTTTTTCGTTGTGCGTCTAGAGATCTGCTTATCTGGCTGTGTCGTGTCTTGTCAAAATGGATGTCGATTTACAATAATAATAATAATAATAATAATAATAATAATAATAATGAAGATCATTTCTATAGCGCCCACTCCCGTGTAAACACAGCTCTAGGCGCTTTACATAAAATACATGTACGAACAATATTCACGCACGCGACACAAACACAAAAATACACTCACTCATACACACACACACAAACACACACAAACACACACACATACACACTCACGAACACATAACACGCACACATGTGTGCACACACACACACACACACACACACACACACACACACACACACACACACGCACACACACGCATCTACTTGCTTATCACACACGCACGCTTACACGTCGTCACGAAATGAGCATAAAATCTACACAATGCAAATCACAAAATACATAACTGGATACATAGTCATTTCCATAACATTGTATTGAACCTGAATCTACAGACAAAAAAAGATGTCTTTAAATGTGTCTTTAAAGATTTTTAAAAATTTAGACTCAGATGTTGTATGTCTCAAAGGTTGGGGAAGAGAGTTCCAAACTGACGGAGCAAGGTGGGCGAACGATCTTTCACTTTCAGCTAATTTTTTACCCCCTTTTCAAGGAACTCTTAAAAGATACTGATCGCCTGATCTTAGTGATCTAGATGGAACATACATCTGGATGAGATCACTAAGATACGAGGAAGCTTTGTTATTGACACATTTATGACATACTATTGCAATTTTATATGACATTCTACCGGACACGGGAAGATGATCTTTCTCCTCTCTCTCTCCCTCCCTTTCTCTCCCTCCCTCTCACCCTCTCCCTCCCTCTCCCCCTCTCTCTCTTCCTCTCTCTCTTTCCCCCTCTCTCCCCCTCTCCCCCCTCTCCTCCTCTCCCCCTCCCCCTCTCGGATGACGAGTCCATTCTTGTAAATTTGTAATCACTCAAGACCTAGAACTAGATTCTAGATACGGTAGATGTAGGCAGACTAGACAACAGTAGATCAATGCAACGCGAGCTTAAAGGGATCGGCAATAGGCGCTCTCTATGTGGAGTCAAGCAGACACCTACTGGCGCCTGTCCGAGTCGATCTTCAGCCGCTTAAGTTTCGGCTTTCTTTATGTTATCGCCCTTTGTTGGGGTGGTCACTCGTTACTCGGATAGTCCTTCCTTATGACACCCACAAAGGCTTTTGGGGGGGGGGGGGGGGGTGCGCAAAATTTTCAGACAATCTGGTTGAGGCTCACATGCAGGTCTAGCTTGTCTCTAAGATGCTCTGTCCATAAGGCCACCCTGGATCTGTCTTGAATTGGGCATTCCTCAAGCATCTGTGGTCAGGGTTTGCCATGTTGTGCAAGCATGTCTTTGACTGGCCGGTACTTAGCTTTCTTCACACATCAGCCTACAGCCTGTTGTATTCTATCCTGATTCTAAAAATTATGACATTTTCCCATCTGTTGATCTTCATAGGAGATGTCAAGCAGGTTATGTCGGAGTGTTTCTGCTTCCTTTTTCTCTGTAAAAAATTAACTTGATAATTGTTTTCTCACCATCGCAGGAGACACAATTATCTATCTGTTCCAGCTGTCCTCCTTCCTTTGCCAACCTGTTATAATTTTTCCTTACCTTAGATTCTGTAGTAACCGAGGATCCATTGAAGGATTGGGAGAGTCTAAATGACGAAATCTGCCGTGGTATCCTTTACGGTATTATCATTTTTTTAGGGGATTTGGAAAGACACTTAGTGATAGTACAGAGAAAGCTTCTGTGGAAATGACAATCTTTTGTCTGGTTCTGTGTATGTTATCTGCTGTGTCATTTGCGATTGTGTTCAATGCTTCTACATAACATCTGTCCTAAAGTTGGTGTAGTACTTTTCTGTTACTACATTTATTAAGTGAGCTTCCTGCTTGTTGTATCTTATATTAGGTACCACAAGTGAAAAATTTTTTGAACAATATTGATGTTTAAACCTCAGGGGTTCAAATCTACTCTATGAAACAAGAACATTGAAAAAAGAATTATCAAAATCCATCAATAAACAATCGAGATATGGTATTTCAAAGTTTTATTTTTGAACGAAACCTTTTCAACTGCGACTTTCACCCATGTTTGAGGTGTTCTAAAATACAAAGTGCATGATCAAATCGATGAAAACTTTGTTTTTCCCAGAGCTGTCAACACAAATATTGATATCTCTAAATCAAAGCTTGTTAGAATGACTGCTTTCCAAGATATAGGCCTTCAAAAATTGAAGAAAAAAATGCCAAAATTTGTCATTAAGAGTTCAGAACCCTATTTTAACCTCCTCCAAATTAGTCAAAACTGCCTACACATTAGTGAAAATCACACAATCATTACAAATACATGCATAGACTTAGCTGAATTATTTTCAGACCTCTCTGACCATAAGTAACTTTTCTGGACTCCTCTGAAGTGGGCTTCGGTGCAAAAAACGCCTCTTGGAAAAAAATTAGGGGAACTCTGGTACATCCTCGGGCAAAAAGCATCACAACAAGTGAACAAATTAAGCTACAGGGCTAAATCATACATCAAATTAAAGCTCAATGCAAGCTCTACGGGGCCAAATGAAAATTGTTTACTAAAACCTTTCATAACACTCCATAATAGGACCCTAATACCCAAAAACCTGCCATTATTGAGTGAAAATTATAACGCCTGCCGACTGGAAAAAAATTCATATAAAATCAACAAATTGTGCTACAAGGTTGCATTATATATCAAATTAAAGCTCTTTTCAGGCTCTGTACAGTGAATTAGTTTATTATAGAAAGAAAAAACCTTCCAAACATTTCAGATATGGACAATGATGTGAAAAAAATCATCAATATTGGTTCAGTAAATAAAGATTTCTGCTCAGAGGGTTTAAAAATTGGAATTAAATCAACATACTGTTCTACCGTGGCTCATCTTGTATAATATAGATCTAGTTCTAGATTTATTTATCATTTTAGCTGAGAAAGAAACCAGTGGCTGGGGAAATACAATGTATCATCGTGTGTTCAGTCAGTAAGTGGATGGAAGAAAGAGTGGGGGGGGGGGGGGGGGGGCATTTCTCCAATTAGCCTTCTGTCAGGTGACATCTAAGTCTAACTAAGTCTAAGAATACGTAAAAAGGCTGGTTGATTCAATAATTGAATATCCACCAATCAAGAACGTAGATCTAGCCTTTTTTGTTACCGAATTAAATGCCAAACAATAGATCTACGAACATTTCCATCGGTAACACTAACACCCGGTAACTCCCTTCCGAGTGTTTAGTAGTGTGTGATGACATGTTACTATAAATAAAACTCCCAGTTCAACTCTTCACGGTTTTATTCTTTCACTTTGTCGACAAGAGATGCTTAGATTTCGATGCATTTAGAATAAATAAGGTGTTCTTAGTTGAAAAGACAGCAAAAATACCACCACGAAGCGATACATTTGTATAGATCGCAATAAATTCACTATGAGGTGGGGAAAATGTAGGTCGGCGTGATTCCCACCAAACAATAACAATCCAACCACACGGCAAGTGGTGGCCGTTTAGTCTTAATTTTCAAAACACGATATTCATAAGTATCCTAAAAGAAAATTATGATAATACTTACTTAAATTTGACGCCATAAACAGATCTATCGAATGTTTCTTTTTCTGAACCATCATTATAATCGACTGCTGGTTGGGTCAAGTCAGAGGGGGTGGAAATGGGCAATGGAACAGCCGCAATGGCAGAATGACGATCTCCCGAAAGTGGTTGTTACCCCACTTCAGAAAAAGTAATATTTCTACTTCGTGGAACGTAGTTGGCTTTTCTAAACACATAAACTTGATGGTAGAGATGTCTAGGAATATGATCCTGGCACGGATAGCCCGACTTGTGTCGAATTTCATATTTTGAAATGCTTTCTTCGTCTTTACATCGTACCACTCAAGCTTTCAGCTTGGAATAAAAACATAAACACATTCCCCGGAAATTCTCCTGAAATCCCAGATTTTTATGTTTCAAACCACAAGAAAATTCAATGATTCACGACTGAGAAATCGAAATTTAAAACAAGTACCCCACCAAATCTAAGCGCGCAAAATTGCGAGACGGCCGAGTTTTCGCGTGTTAAACTTAAGTCAATTAAAAACTAAATATGCAATCATAAGTATCAGTTTCTCGTTCACCGTGGAGAAGGAAAGACACAGAAAACAGTGGTATAATTTTTATTAATGTTTACCAAAATTAAAACCAGCTAATAGTTGGATGAAGTTGTCCAAATCTGGCTCCAGCCGTAGCTGTCTGCCTTGAAAACGGCTCGCCTGCGGTACCTACTTATATTTTATATACTTCCCCTACTCAATTGAGTGTGGCATCAGTGGCAAAGTCCATTTGTCCTTTTTTTGTAATGTCACTTTCTTTTACAAATAGTTGTACTCTTGCTCTTTCCTGCAGTTTGCAAATATTGTGTTTATTCATTTGGATGTATGGGATTTATAAACAACTGCCCAATTCATTTTTCAAATTAATTTGTCATAACATCTTTACATTTTTGCTTGTTATATTTTTCAGTGCCTTCATCTTGGATCAGATCAGGAGTTTCCAAAGAGCATCTGTAAACAACTCAGACAAATGAAAGCTTTAGAATGGAAGAAAGACTATTGTGATTCTATCACTGCATCATTATGAAACAAGAATTCTCTCAACAAAGGGAAATGGCTGTACAAGGTGTCCAGCAAGGTCGTTAAGTCATTAAAAAATCATAAATTCTCCGCCTTGGTCGTAAAGGTTGTAAATGGTAGTAAATTTGCCGTGAAGGTAGTAAACATTTGGTAAACAGTCATAAATTAATCTGCGTACAGAGTGATGAAGCCAGCAGGACTTTTCAGTGAACGGAGTCATAGCCGCGGTACTCAGCCATTACCAAGTCCCATCTTTTGTCAAGATTATAGTATCAAAATCACGGGACTCGAATATTTGAAAACCAAATCCGATAAGGTCAGTAAGTTTATTTTTGCCGGTCGCGATTGTGATAATAGATTCGTTCAGCTTTTCCCCGTCTGAGAGTACATTTCACGCGAACAGGCGGCTATGACGGCTGGCGGAAGTGTGTGTCAAACCGAAGCTCGATAGGGAAAATCAAGATTTACTTTCGCTTTTGATACCACCCTGACATTTGTCGGCGATAGACTGATAACGCAACATTTGTGACATGCAGGTTGTGCAGTATAAACATTGAACATGCCGCCGTGCAAATAAAACTTAATAAATACTCGGACTTGTCATTGTGGGGGAAAAAAGAAAAGGAAATACAAGCGTTGTCTGATTTTTAGATTGTCTGTCTCTCCATCATGACCAGTCAGTGAACCTGTGCGCATTCGAAGTCTGAGCGTTGCGAAGTAAAGGACTATGGAATGGGTGAGGGGATTATTGAATTTTTTAAAATAAGTTATAAGATACACTCAGGGTGGGGGAAGGTTACACCAGAGGACAAAAACGTGGAAGCAAATTTCAGAATATTGATAAGATTTAGAGCTCTCTGCAAAGCGCACGTTGGTGCAGGCCGTGTGTGGAATCGGGATCCTTCATACCTTGACTGTCGATATTCTGGTTCTAGGCCCTTCCACAAGCTGAAAGCAGGATTAATTTTTATATAATATTTTAATAATGAGAGGAAAATATAACAGACTAAAACTAAGACCCCATTGCAACACTGACATGTTGTTGACAGGATATATTGTGTGTGTGTGTGTGTGTTGTTATATAACATGCCCCTGAAAAATGGATGACCCACTGGAAAATTGAGAAGCCAGTTTGGCAGTCACCCTGTGTGCATGCATTAGATCTAAATCTAGTGGCAAGCGAGCGTGCGATCGTCTGTCTATCCTCCCTTTTGTCAACTGGACTTTGCTGTGTGCTATTTTCGTTCCATACTCATAAATTATGTAATATTAATGTTATTGATGGCATAAATGAACTGGTGCTTGATTTGCTGGGTAGTACATTTTCTTTTCAGGTAGTATATTTTTTCAGGAAATATTGCTGGACACCCTGCTGTAGAAGTTACATTAATTTTAGAAATGGTAACAAAGCTGTGTGATACAATGGAATACCAGTCATCCACTTCAATTTACTATGGTGCTACAGGTTCTCGATTTTTTTTCGTTTTTTTAAAAATTATTAATGTTCAACTGGGCTTTTGGTTTGGTTAGGATTTGTTCAGTTGTGTGTGTGTGGGGGTTCAGTTTTAATTTTGTTTCTGCTGTGGTAATATATATTATGGGCGGGGGTCAGTTCTAATTTTGTTTCTGTTGTGGTGATATATTTGAGCATTTGTTTTTGTTTTTTGGGTGAGTGGGGGTGGGTTATTTTTTGTTGT